GCTGCCCCTCCTTCGCCTTCAAGGAGCACGATCCCCGTGGGAACCTGGGACGTGGTTTCCAATCACCGCCTGACGGGCGTGCGTGGCCACCCGCTCAGGGGGCTGTTGGATTCTCTTTTCTGCCCCTTTCTTTTCCTCTCCCTTCCCCCTTCTATTTCTTATCAGGATTCTGATCATTATCATTCTTTTTATCGTTATTACTATTTTTTTTTAATACAACACCAAATAATGTTTCTCTACCTGTAAACGGTGTCCGACGGACTGAAGAGGAGGATGGAGGGTTCCCTGACACGTGTGCCTGGTGCTGCCCGGGGCCCTTCGTAGAGCGAGACCTTGGAAATGCCCCCGCGTCTTCCCATAGCGCTGAGCCGTCCCGCTGGGGTGGGTGGGGGAGGCCGGGGAGGGCCCTTTGGCCCACCTGAGCCTATAGAAACTGTCCCGTGATGCCCCCCACCGCGGCCCCCCAACACTGGTGTCTTTGGGAGCCCGGGACCGGCTCCCGCCATCTGAGCCTGCGCAGAATATTCTAATTCCTGGGAGCCTGGGGACGGTTTGTTTTGGTCCATGTGGCCCCTGCCACTCCAGAATCACGGAGGATGACACCCTGGTGGCCCTCCACTAGTCCCCGGCCGGAGGTTTCTGGACGTGGGGAGGACAGTTCTGTCAGCCAGAGGGTCAGGGCGGAGGCCAGCTCCCTCTGCCACCGCAGTCTGGTGACAGGGTCCCTGCGTCCTACAGTGATGTCTTTCTCTCCTCCTTTGTACGCTGTAACTTAAATACTGAGATAGAATGTCTACTATTACCATTTGTTTTAGGTAGTGACAAAACTATTTGGGGGGTATATACTAACATCCATATGAAGCTGAAGAGAGGCAGAGGACAAAGTCGGAGGTGCGTCAGGGGACCACCGAGCTGGAGGGCAAGACGTCATTCTCAGGGTCTTCTGCAGCCTCTGTCCCTTCCCTTCAACACAGTGAATTCTGCTCTGGCCGGGTAGTTCAGTTATTTACAGTATCACCTGATATGCCAAGGTGGCAGGTTTGATCCCAGGTCAGGGCATATACAAGAATTAACCAATGAATACATTGATACGTGAAACAACAAATCAATGTTTCTGTCTCTCTTCCTCTCGAAAATCAATAAATACATTTTTGAAAAAGTGATGAGAATAATGCATCTCCTTGCAGGTCACGCTTGGGGCTGCGGGGACCAGTTATAGGTCTACAAGGAGAGGGGGGTGGGGGACAGGGCTGAGGAAGGTCATCGGGGGGAGGCTATTTTGGGTTTTTCAAGAGAAGGTTTGGTTTAAATAATTTTTAGAATTGAGGTATAATTTATATACAGAAAAAGCACAGATCTTAAGTCCATAGTTTAATGAGTTTTGACAAGTGTATGCACACGTGGAACCCATGAAGCCGTGGAACATGTCCAGGTCCCCTTTGCCCCTTATCAGGCGGCCCCGCACAGAGGTCCCTGCACCATTCCAATGTCCATCGCTATACATTAGTTTTGTCTGTTAATTTTATATAAGTGGAATCATACAATAAGAATCGTCTTAAATTCGGCTTCTTTTTTTAATCAGCAGATTTCTTGAAATTCATTTCTGATGTTATGTGTGTCAACAGTGTGTTACTTGAAAAAACTGACTGTTTTGTCCTGGCCGGCGCGGCTCAGTTGGCTGGAATAACCCAAAGGTCGCCGGTTCAATTCCTGGTCGGGGCACATGTCCAGGTGCGAGCTCAATGCCAGGCTGGGACTCATGCAGGAGGCGGCTGATCTGCGTGTCTCTTTTCCCTGCTCTCTCAAATGAGAAACATCAATGTTTTTCTCTTTCTCTTTCCCTTCCCTCTCTCGAATGAGTATAAAATGAACCTTAAAAAAATTGACTTTATTTTTAGAGCAGTTTTGGGCTCACAGCAAAATCGAGCAGAAGGTACTAAAATTCCCACACACGCACAGCCTCCCCCACTATCAACATCCACACCAGAGGTACATTGGTTACAGCCAATGAACCTACACTGACTGACACATTGCCTCCCAAAGTCCATAGTTCACGTGAGGGTTCACTCTTGGTGCTGTATTTTCTATGGGTTTTGACAAATGTATAAGGACATGCGTGCACCATAATATGAGCACACAAATAGTTTCCCTGCCCCTGAATCCACTCTTCTCACAACCTCTGGTCTTTTGATTGTCTTCATAGTTCTGCCTTTTTCTCATTTTTTTTGAGGCTTTTGCATGAATTTTTATTCAATTTTTAATGTAATTTTTTTTCTTAAAAAAATTTTTTTATTGTTGTTCAAGTACAGTCATCTCCAAGTTTTGCCTTTTCCAGGATGTCATAGAGTTGAATCACCCACTTGTTCTAGAACCATTTGTTTAAAAATTTTCCTTTCTCCTCTCAATTTTTTGGCATCTTAGTTAAAAAAAAAATCAATAGACTATCCAGGTATAAATCTATTTCTTGACTCTTTTATTCCATTAATCTACCTGTTTATCATTTTGCTGGTACCACACTAACCTTGTTCACTGGAGCTTTATCCCAAGCCCTGAAAGCACGTAATGTAAATGCTGACATGCCTGTCCTTCATACTTGCTTTGATGGGTCTAGGTTCTTGGCATAGTCATATAAACTTTAGAATCAGCCTCTCTAAAGTGCCTGAGATTAATTTGGATTGTGCTGATTTTATCAACACCCCCTATTCATGGACTAGAAAGTACCATATTTTGCTGTATAGAATGCACACTTTTTCTGCCTACATTTTTGAGGAAAAAATAAGGATGTGCATTATACATGGGTATAAAAATCCCATGTATAATGCGCACAGAAATGTGGGTGCGCATTATACGTGGCAAAATATATTAAATATTGTGAAAATGATAACACTTCCACAATTGATCTACAGATTCAGTGCAATCCCTATCAAAGTTCCAACAGCCTTTATTTTTTATTTTTGCCGAATCTGACAATCTGATCCTGAAGTCCGTGTACAAATATAAGGGATCCAGACTGTGGAAACAACCTCAACAGATTACAAAGCTGGAGGAGTCACTCTCTCTGACTTCAAAACCTGCCGTGTGGCCGCAATAAGCATGACTTCATGGCAGTGGCTCAAGAACGGACAGAGGTGACCGGAACAGAACGGAGGGTGCAGAAAGCAATGGTTCTTCACAAGAGGGCTAAGACAACACAACAGAAGGGCAGTCTTTTCAACAAATCCTGCTGCGACTAGACATCCGTGTGCGCAGGGATGGGACTGGATCCTTCCTTCACACCTGTGGGTACAGCCTGAAATCTCATGTCGCGTCGGGAAGCCTGGGAGTCCGCTCACTCCCCAGATACGTCCCCATCCAGCTGGCTCCCCCATCAGCCAAACCAGTAGCGCTGAGGCCTGTCCTCCACCAAAGAGGCTGTCCTCTCTGCGGGCCCCCAGCCCTATGCAAATAAGCCAGGCTCCTCCTCCTGCGGGACCAGGGGGTCACTCCAACCTGGTCACCGCCCCTCTCCTGCACCAGTTGCTGCTACTGTTTCGTTCGCACTGTGATCTGAGAGGGTACTTTGTATGACTTCTACTTTTTAAATTGTCAAGGTGTGTTTTAATGGCCCCCAAATATGGCCTACGTTGGTGACTGTTCTGTAGGCTGAGGTGCGCTCTGCTGTAATCTGTGCCCACCAGGCCTGGGTAACGTTCAGTTCACCCTGTCCTTGCTGAGCTCACAGGCCCGTCTGTTCTCCTGCGTGTCCACGTTCTCCACGGGAGCCCTGAGCAGGCTCACCCCAGTTGTTTTAATCTCCCAGGTTGGTAATCCTGAAACCTCTGACCAACTTGAGCCTTGTTCTGCGCTTGCTCTGCTTTTTGTTTTATCATACACTGTGTGAATTCCTTGTTTGCCCTGGCGCGTGTGGCTCAGTGGATTGAGTGCAGGACTGTGAACCAAAAGGTCGCAGGTTCGATTCCCAGTCAGGGCACACGCCTGGGTTGTGGGCCAGGTCCCCAGTCGGGGGCGTGTGAAAGGCAGCTGGAAAATGTTTCTTTCCCTCTCTCCCTCCTTTCCACTCTCTCTAGAAATAAATGAATAGAATCTTCAGGAAAAAAAAAAAAAAAAGCTGGACACAATGCTGGGTAAAAGGAACAGGACTTCAGCGTGCAGGTTTAGGGTTAGCTGGGTGGGAGCTGTGACTGCTTCACCGTCTGCTAGAGCTGCAGGTGTCGGAGGCTGAATCAGTTTGTGTGAAAGGCATGCTTTCATCGGCTGGGTGTGATGAGTTTGGTGACTACGGAGAACTTTATGCCCGAAGAGCGAGGCCACCGTTGTTCAGGACCTCGGGAGCTCGCGCTGCCGGCCCGGCCCAGGACTGTGGGTGTGCGTGGGCGCGGCGGCTGCCTGTCTCTCAGCAGTTAGGTGATGCTGTGGCATTCTCTTCAATCCTGAAATAGCTGCGTCGCCCCTGGCATCTGGAGGTCACCTTGTGAACCTCTTCCAATTTCAGAGGGAAGACTCAGAGCTGGGCCGGCTCCCAGGAGGAGCTGCTGTTCGCGGACACGGCCGTCGGCAGGCAGGTGACCCGGACGGCATCTGAGGACAAGGCGCCCTGGTGCTCAGCTCTGAGGCTGTTTGGGTCAGTGGTTGTTTGTGAAAAATAGATAGTAAATATAGTGCTCAGTCATAAATGCTAGGAAAGTACGGAGAGGAGATGTGAAAAACTGAAATAGTAAGCATAATTTTAGCCAACAGAAATGGCTCAGAAATGCCAAATGATAGTATGGACCAATGGCTGGCCGCACACCAAGTTGGCCTTTATGTTACTGACACCAGTTGAAGTTATTTTCCATTGGAGAACTTCCCAGGCACATAAAAACACATTTTTCAGACAGCTAACTCTAACACAAGCTTTAGGGAGAGCAGCATGTTAAACTCTCTGCAAAAAACTTCTGGGACTGAGCGAAAGGACAATAAAAAATGTAAAGTGCTTTATTTTTAATACGAACAATTCCATTTACAAAAATGATGTAAGTCACATCTAAGGTATCAATACCATAAATCTATAGCTTGCAATAGGACATGTAAATGTAAATAACTTATGTACAATCTGCACTATGGACATAATTTTGTACACACAACCCTATATACTACCCAAAAAGCTTCAGAGAAAACACCTGCAAACCCTTACTTGTCTAGACAGTAGACAACAGTTTCAAAAAAAGAATCAAAATAAAACGATTCCTACTTCTCAGCTGCACATGGTGCAGATATTCATGCATGGAGGCGAAGTGTGAGGTATCGATCACGTGAAGACATTTAACTTTGTTCCATTCCGGCCATGAGGGACAGAGCTAGAGACTCCACTGTAGGAAGAATAACAAGGTTAAAAAAAATAGGTTTAAATATTTGAAAATGTCTGAATAAGGCTTTCATCAACCCCAAACTGGTAAGTATTTAAAGACATTTTCTATTTTTAATTAAAATCGTGATGATTTTTAATGTGTAATATAGATGATAATCTTCACTTATTAAATAGAAATTGAAAAAGTATGATTCCGATCGTTTTAATTTTGAAAGCAAACGAATCTGTGCATTTCACTGAGGAATCGCGGTTGTTGCTCCTGTTATAAAATCTGGAGCCGGTCCATAACAAAACGCCAAGTTCTGACCTCGGCCCACCCAGTTCAAAACAGGACAGATGTCTCAGTGTTTCCTATGTGTAAGGAGCAGGTCGCAATTTGAATATGCAGAAACCGATTAACTCCGAATCCCTTCCCCAAAACTGGTGCAAAGAGAGGACTCAGGCCTTTGTTTTGCAGATCACACAGCTCCCTCCTGCCGCCCCAGCCTGCAGACCACTGCCTGCTCCACAGGGTCTGTCGGGCAGCCTTGGGGGCGCTCAACTGCTCCGAAAAATCCGGCTTTTGAAAAGGAATAGTTGCAAAGACTACACATAATAGGAAGGTGTCACTGAAATCTAAAAGCATGTGCCCTACGCTTTTTAAATAATAGTTTCAGCCCTGGCTGGTGTGGCTCAGTGGATTGAGTGCTGGCCTGCAAACCAAAGGGTTGCTGGTTCGATTCCCAGTCGGGGCACATGCCTGGGTTGCAGGCCAGGACCCCAGTAGGGGGCGCTTGTGAGGCAACCACACATTGACGTTTCTCTCCCTCTCTTTCTTGCTCCCTTCTCCTCCCTAAAAAATAAACAAGTAAAATCTTTAAAATTACTATAGTTTCAGAAACCCACAGGTGTAAAACAATATGCTAGAGAGCAAAATCTTTAACAGTCTCTGTGTTTTATGTCTTAATAGCCACCCATCCCACGGTAATTCTGAAAACACAGTCAAAGCATGGTACAGCTGCTGAGGGGCCTCCCAGCGTGAAGTATCGGAGAAATCCAATTCTTCATGAGAGAGAGTGTAGCCTTTGTACCAGAAAGCAGAAAAGCAGTGAGACTTTAACGTGTGTACTCACGATGGGGAAAGGACCCTCTACAGACGGCTTTGTTTAAGATGGTGACAAGGAACATGTGGCAGTTTTTAAAGTCAGACTCCATTTTCTCTATAGATTCCATCCTAGGAAAGAAAGTACATTTCAATTTAAGTACGTCATACAAGGTTAACAGGTAGGCTACAAGATATTTCTGGGGTGATTTCAAAGGTACCTCAGTTTAATTATCTACAATACTAAATATAAAGACTATAAAATAATATATAAAATTTCTTGCCCTACTTTATTTATTTCATCCACCGAGGCATTTTATTTGCATATATGTATTATATCCTAGAAAAAGAATCCCAGGATTTTCTTTTTTTCTTTTTAAAGATTCTATTTATTCATTAAAAAAAATTTGTTATTTATTTTTAGAGAAAGGGGGAGGGAGGGGGAGAGAGAGAGAGAGAGAAACATCAATGTGTGGTTGCCTCTCGCGCGCCCCCAGCTGGGGACCTGGCTTGCAACCCAGGCATATGCCCTGACTGGGAATCGAACCTGTGACCCTTTAGTTTGTAGACTGGCACTCAACCCACTGAGCCACAACTGCCAGGGCTATTTATTCATTTTTAAAGAGAGGAGAAGGGAGGGAGAAAGAGGGGGAGAGAAACACCAATGCGTGGCTACCCCTTGTGCGCCCCTCACTAGGGACCTGGCCCGAAACCCAGGCACACACCTGACTGGGAACCGAACCAGTGACCCTTTGGTTCAAAGGCTGGCACTCACTCCACTGACCACACCAGCCAGGGCAGAATTCTAGGGTTTTCCCTCCTGTGTGTTTTCGTCTTGCCTCCTCATGGTCCAGGATGCCCACTGAGCTTGTATGTACAACAAAACCAAACCCACAGCAAGGAAGCAAGTTGTTTTGCCGTTTTTCTAGATCTCTGAGCTGCTCCTCAAAACTGGGTTGATCACTCCATAATTGTTCAACCTGTCCATGAGATTCACAACGATTTTCCCAGCTCTGCTATCATCAATAATTTCAAATCAGCCCACATGACTGTGCTTCGTCCTCACAGCTGGAAACCGGGCATGACTTGGGAGCGCGGCCAGATGAGACCCTGGCATTGCCTCTTTCAGGCATCGGTGATACCCTGGGGAGCATCGGCCAGGACAGTCATGTGCACCATTCTGATGGCACAGAGAGTGCTCCCTGCCTCCTTCAACATAAAGCCTGTTTCAGTCCTGAGTTCTAGAGCTGGGGTGACAGGATATTCCCTTTTCTCTGCGTCACTTCTGTATTTTTACTTTTCACATGCATATCTTCTTTTTGAAATGAAGAACACATTAAAGATATTAAGCCCTAAATGTAAAAGTTATTTAAAAACTTAAAAACTTATTTTATTTTTTGCCATGGCTGGTGTGGCTCAGTGGATTGAGTGCCAGCCTGTGGGCCGAAAGGTCACCAGTTCGATTCCCAGTCGGGGCCTGTGCCTGGGTTGCGGGCCAGGTCCCCACTTGGGGGCGTGTCTGAGGCAACCGACTGCTTCTCCTGTACATCAGCGTTTCTCTCCCTCTCTTCCTTCCTCCCTTCCCCGCTTTCTAGAAACAAATAAAATCTTTTAAAAAATCATTTTTATTTTTTAAATTTAATTATTTTTGCAGCAAAGAAAGTGAAGGTTTGCTGAAGGACATGGCGCCAGGCCTGGAGACACAGGGCAGTTGGGACTCTAAGGCCTGGCGCCGAAACTTTTTTACTGTGGAAAATGTCACAGGAGAACAGGCCCGGGACTTCCTCCGGGGCAGCCCCAGGAACCCCCGCCCCCACCACGTTTTTAGAAGCAAATGTGAGACGTAGGAGCACTTCGGCCATAAATAGGTCAATGTGTATCATTTAAGACAAAAACCCTTTTTTAAAACACAGTCAATACTATTTGCTTAAAAAACACTTAATGATTTCTTAATATCATCAAAGAACTAGTCAGGGCTCAGATTTCACGTTGCTTTGGCAATTTTTCATTTTTCTGCTTTAAATGTGGACAGGGATCAATTAACTTCCATAAACTGCGAAGCTGAGATCCTCCTCACTTCTGCTTTTTTCTCACAGCCAACTTGATGAAGAAGTGGAAGCGGCTCAATTTTAGCAAAGCATGTACAGAGTGCTACTCTGTCCCCCTTGTCCCCCAGGGCGGGTACGCGCTGCACGCTCTGCGAGGGCAACGGTCAAGCCAGCACGGCGTCTCCCTTCACGCCTGCAATTATGAATTTCACCAGGTCTCTTAGTTTACGCACTCGGCGTGTTCTCACACTGCCCCAGGTTCTGGTGCAGACGAGGTCAGCGCCCCCACGAGCTGCCGCACACAGGTACGCGCAAGCTATGACTCCGCAGCCCAGGCCGCCGGACTCACACTTGTAATTCAGGGAAGTAGCAGCGGCAGCACCACCGGATTTCGCTATGGATAACGCGCACCTGCAGCTTAGCATTGCCCATGTATAATGCGCCCCCTTATGTTCCCCTCAAAAATTTGGGCACAAGGGTGCACATTATAAATGTCGAAATACAGTATAGTGGAGGGATCACTTTGTAAGGTATATATATGCCTAAGCACTATGCTGTACACCTGAAACTAATACATTGAATGTCAATGGTAACTGAAAAGTGGAAATAATAATCGCAGCATTATACTAATTTATAAACACGTTGTTCAGTTGCGTGTGTTAGTGTGCAGCGGAGAACGCAATCGGATGCTCTGGATGGGAAGAGCCGCTGAGTCTTCCCCGGTCCTTTGAGGTCCCCTTTGGATGTGCTGGATGGGAGTAATAAACACCCCCCCCGTCCAAAATCCAATCACTCTTCTAGGGTTCCTCTAAAACCCAGCTTTGGACTACAATCTAGCACAACGTGCAGAACTGGCTTTAATCCAGCAGGCATGAGTGGGGGTGAGTGGTTAACACAAAACAGAGCAGGTCACTGTTGGTGACAGCTGAGGCAGAGCGACAGGCGCCTGGGGTTTGCTCTGCTGTTTCTCTCTACTTCTGTGTATGTCTAAGGCATCCACGATAAAAAGTAATAAAACCACCTGGTTGGTGTGGCTCAGTAGACTGAGGGCCGGCCTGTGAACCAAAGGGTCACCAGTTCGATTCCCACTCAGGGCACAGGCCTGGGTTGCGGGCCAGGTTGCCAGTAGGGGGTGTGCGAGAGGCAACCTCACATTGCTGTTTCTCTCCCTCTGTTCCCCTCTCTAAAAATAAATATAGAAAATCTTTTAAAAAAGTAACAAAACCTACACAACAACACAGGAATGTCATCTAAGGATATATGCGCGTCCTCATTACAAGACTTCAGCTGTTTATTATTTTAGCGCTCCTAAAAGAACCGCACAGCCCCCACGCTGCCTGGTTTAGGTGAGCAGATGCTTCGATTCTTTCCTTAAACAGAAGCGGTGCTGCTGAGATGAAAAGAGCCTCACAGGATGAAGCCCGTTGAAACGCTCACAGTGTGGAGGCTCCACAAGCCACACACTTACCGCCAAGCGCCCAGGCCCGCCTGCCAACCGTCCGCAAACATGAGCGCCAGGTTCAACACCTTCATGATGGCTTCCTTCACAAAGCTGACCTGCGGAGCAAAGCCAGGACAGAACACAGCTCTGCGACTGTCTTCGGACAGGGACACTACAACTCATCCCTAACTCCAGCGCGCGCCAGGGCAACGGCCGCCTGGCTCCGGACAAAGCGGCCTTGGAACTGGCCACACGCTGCGCCCCCGAAGCAGGCGGTGGCAGTGCAGCCCAATCCACAGAGCAGCTACCATCTCCTGGGACGGCTGCGAAATTCACCCATGAAACCTGGCAAATAATTCCTGCGGCCACGAGGGGACTTAACCCCAAATATTCACACTGAGGGGCAGGCGCCTCCTGACTACGTTTCCCGTGCAGGTGAACCTTCCAGCCGCATCCGAGGGCGGAGCGGAGGGCAGGCAGGTTGGCCCCCCCAGGCCCCACCTGTTTCTCATACAGATAATTTCTGGTCACATGGCCCGAATTTGTAACCTCGTGTGATCTGGTCTTTCCGTAAAGAATATTCTATACAACGGAAGTTTAATAATTATAAAACCCCAAAGCAGAGAGACAGGCTCCCTTGGCCAGCTTCACTCCGGCCTCAGCGGACAAGTTCGCAGGTGACTTCTCACGCACCTTTTCTCTCAGCAGACATCGATCGTGGATGGTTGACAAATATCTGTAGTGAATTTTAATCAACTGATCTAAGTCCTTGGCTTCCTCAATTTGATGTTGAAATTCCAGCCCGGTACTGTGAAGAATCTTGGAAGAGAAAGATAAGAAGTTTAATCAGGTTTCTTTGAGAACTGTGTGCCCCACACAAAAGTTTTCTCTGACCTCTTCTGCTTCCTTCAATAGTTCCATCCGCCAAGCTGATCAAGTGCTGATCTTTGAGGGTTGGCATTCTCCTCCTAGAATGACGGCGGCCCGTCTGTGGGGGCCTCCACTTGCCCAGTGACCGGGCGCCTCACTCTGACCAACGGCCTGCTCCCGGGAAGGAGGGGCCAGTATATCCAACCCGATGGAAAAGTGCACTGATTTGTTTTTTTGAAAAAAAAATCATCGGGTAGCCCTAGCTGGGTAGCTGTTGGCTGGGTGTCTTCCCATCAACCAAAAGGTCGCGGGTTTGATCCCCAGTCAGGGCACATATCCAGGTTGTGGGTTCAATCCTCGGCTGGGGCACACGTGAGAGGTAACCAGTTGCTGTTTCTCTCTTTCTCCCCTTTCCTTTCCCTCTTTCTAAAACCAATAAGCATGTCCTTGGGTGAGGATAAAAAAAAAATCATTGGGAAAACTGAAGTTAAACATTTTTCTAAGTTCCACTGTTTATACAGAGGTGGGCATAGGTAGGTTTATAGTTGTGAGCACATGAAACACAATTTATTCTTGTATCGTTATTTATTAATTCGTGTATTACTTGTGTTACAACTGCAAACCTACTTTTGCGTACCGTGTACACCTGAAACTCCTACCACTCACTCTCAACACTGAAGGTTAGGGCCACGGTCCGAGGGCCACCAACGGGGTCCCAAGGAGGCAGAAGCCGGCAGGTCGGACACGCAGGCCCGAAAGCCTCACTCGACCCAAACAAGATGGGTTTTAGAACTTACAGACCAGAACGACTAGAAATTTTGGGGGCAACCACTTTAAACCCCGAGTCCTAGTAATACGGGCGCTGTGCAAATGGCGGAAGCCCTCTCTCAGAACTTCCCCTCAAACTGGTTCCAAGATGGCTAAGAAAAATTCACTGGGTAACGACTTCTTGTTTTGAAGAAAAAAAGCACATCATCTGGCTGTATCTTCCTCCTGACAGCCCACACCAGCCTGGCAGGTTCTGGCTGTCACTAAAAATTGAAGCCATTTCCCAGGGCAGCTGTCACTGCCAATCAAAGTCAAAGGACCACGGAGCAAGTTCGGAAGGCAATTACAAAAGAGGGGCTCTGACCGTGCCCATCCCAGGGGGACAGCAGACTCTGGACACAGGCGCCCTGACAGGCCTAAAACGTGCTCCCCCCCTGCCCCATCCTTTTACGGTCAAAGCTTTAATACGTGCTATTTTCACACTTGCAGTGTATGGGCATGTCATGGTGCCTCTGTGTTTATGACTCTATTCCAAGCCATCCTCTATGAAAAGCTGGGCACAGGGCGGGCGCACAGACACGAACCCTGGTCATGATATAGTTGTGCAGGCTGTTCACGAAGTGCATGAGCTTCACTCGCAAGAGGAACATGCGATGAACCTGCTGTCGCTCTGGTTTCTTCTGCGGTCCGCACTGGAGGCCTTGCTGCAGGTGCGGTTTCTCCGCCAGCTCTGTGGAAGCAGCGTGGTCGTGTGAGCTCTGCTCCAAGCCGACTCTCTGCCGCTAAGGCGGGGGCCCCTGCAGTGAGGTCCCCACGGCGCGACAGAGACCCACCTTCGGAGTCTCTGGGAAGGGATACCCCGAAGAGTTCCCGTAACACCAGGATGGTCGCTGCATTCAAAATGCAAACGTGAAGTCCTATGAACTTGTCATTAAAAACTGTCACGTAGCCCTGGCTCATGTGGCTCAGTGGACTGAGCACCGGCCTGCAAACCAAAAGGTCGCTAGCTCGATTCTTAGTCGGGGCACATGCCTGGGCTGCAGGCTAGGTCCTGCGTTGGGGGTGTGCAAGGGGCAACCGATTGACTGAAGTTTCTCTCCTTCCCTTTCTACCTCCTTCCCTCCATCTCTGAAAATAAATAAAATATTGAAAAAAAAAATTGTCACATTGTCCTGGCTGGTGTGGCTCAGTGGACTGAGCACCGGTCTGCAAACCAAAGGGTCGCTGGTTTGATTCTCAGTCAGGAGGGAACATGCCTTGGTTGCGGGCCAGGTCCCCGGTAGGGGATGTGCGAGAGGCAACCACACGTTGATGTTTCTCTCTCTTTCTCCCTCCCTTCCCCTCTCTAAAAATAAATAAAATCTTAAAAAAACAAATTGTCATGTAACCTAAGATAAACGATTATTCCGGTTAAATTCCTAATCTAGTTATTGTATTTCAGGCTAACTGTAGATACAACTTCTGGTATTTCCTTCATGGACATTAACTCAGATGCCTATAAAAATGCTGCTATAAATACACATCATTTTGGTACTGGTGTATACATAAAAAATGACCAGTCCACTAACCTCTTTTTCAGGACTAAAATTAAACTATAATTTAATTTTAATAATTACATTTTATAATTTAATTTTAAATTATAATCTTACCACCAAACAGTAAAACATCCAGACTATATTTTGCCCACTTTATCTGCAGTAAGAGAAGGAACACCTGATTGTAAATTTTTTGACATTCCGAACTTATAACAATGTCCACAGGCCATGGGACCTATGAAAATAAAAACAGAAAATTAGAATAGAAAGTAACCCATCACTTGCATATTTTAATTTTTTAAAATCCTCACCCTAGGACATTTTTTTCATTGCTTTTAGAGAGAGAGAAAGGGAGGAAGAGAGAGAGAGATCAATGTGAGAAACATTGATCAATTGCTTCCAACATGCACCCCAAACCTACAACCTAGATACGTGCACCAACAGGGGATTGAACCCACAACCCAGGCAGGTGCCCTGAATGGGAACTGAACCCACAACCTTTTGGTGTATGGGACGACACTCCAACCGAGTCACATCAGCCAGGGCTTGCACATTTTAACATAAAAGAATGGTCTTACGGAGGGTATCAGCACATACCTTGTAGCTGAGGGTCAGACCGTCTAGGATATGAACGGGGAGCTTCTTCTTAGCTGTGTCCACGTTTTCAAAAGATATAGAGAGACTAGAAAAAGAAATTTCTGTTTCAGTTGGTGAAAATATGCTCACATAAAAATGCTCTTTAAAAAAAAACTATTGTCATTTTACCATTTTATTTACATTGTATTCCAAAAAAAGACACTGTATTTCATATAAGGAGAGCAAATATTCCCATACAGGCATATTTTCTGGCATGTATTCCAGAATATTAATTTGGTTTTGGAAATAAGAAAGAGGAAAAGTTTTGAAACACTGAGTTTACTCATAAAAGAGAAGAGACGCTTAACAGCTGTGCCTGGTTAATTACGAAAAAGATGAAGGCAGGCAGCTTAACCTGGAAAAGGTCAGGCAACGTACACACAGGCCCGGGAGCTTGTGGGCGACCAGGGTGGGGCCGCTTCTAAAACAAAGCATCGCGCACATGCCCATAACACTGGTTCGAATGTGGCGCCCGACAGAAAGCAAGCAAGGGCCCAGAGCACGGGAATGTCCCTGTGCCAGGCGCTGTGTGGGCACGTGAGGGAGGGTCCCACGGCTCTGCCCCTCAGTCCTGCCAGCGTGCTGAGAACCAGCGCTCGGGGAGAGGGTCCTGAGTCATGGGTCTGGGCGCACGCCGTGTGGAAACCCAACAAACATGGGCACCTTCCGGGAAGGGAGAAGGTTTGCAGGGACAGAAATAGAGGCCAGGTGGCCCTAAGAGTATCTTGGTGCTGATGACTTCAACTTAAGAAACGCATGGCTGTTTACCTAATTGAAAGCAAAATGGCACAGGGGGGCGGGGGGTGGGGCGGTAAAGCAGTCCCCGGAAGTGGAACACCAGCCGCCAGGACGAGGCCGGCCCTGGGCAGCTTGGCGCCGGTTTAATCGCAAGCAGGGCTCGGGGGCGGGAGCCCAGACCATGGTCCCGGGCACGCTGGGAGCTCTCAGGGGAGGCTGCTGCTGTGACTTTGGAACTATTACTATTTACGATAGAACAAGACCAGAACGTGTTAGGTTAACGTGTTAGTAACGCTCAAAGGGAAACCGAAGTGGAATCGGTCGTCTCTCACAGACACTGAAAATACCAATATGAGCTTATGGTTCATTGTGTCCTTTCTACAGATGTCCCTGTTCCGTCCGCTGAGAGCCCAGAAGAGGTGACAACCCAGGGCCGATGGATCTACTCCAGCACCCGGTCAAGAACGAGCACGGGTGGGAGAGGCACATGGGCCTGCGCAGGACGAGCACAGGAGGGGCTGGGACACTGGACTTGAGGGCGGCGGGCTCCCTGGGGTCAAGTGGCGGGGTTCCCTGGGTCAAAATGGGAGCGTGTGAGCAACGAAGAAAGAATAACTGTAATAGAGTAAAACATATCAAGAATAACTAAATTCATGGGTTTTACTGATATCCAACACTATAACCTTCCCTGGGACCCTCTGTGGCGTGCTGGGCACTAACGTCTCACCATGAAAAGAATGTAGCAGTTACCCTGCTTTTATAAACATACAATGGATGAAATTCTGCTTCTACAGAACTGAAGGTAATAAAGGATTAAAATGAAAATAAAGGGAATTATTTTATCTACCACTAAGCAGCAGTCAGTAACCAGCATGGCTGTGAGGAAAATAATGCCTTAAAGTGGCACGTGACCCACAGTAACTCTTATCATTGCTTTCAAAGGGGATTGAGAAGGAGAGCAAAGCGAGGAACGAGGTCCGGTGCTGCAAAGGTTTGGAGGCAACAGCTGGGGCACCTCACGAGGAAAGGGCGGCCACGGCCTGGTCGGCGGGGATAAGCGCGTGGAACGGTTTGGAAACCTACGACTGTGCCCATCAAGTGGTGCGGCCTACTTGCCACTCCTGAGCCTGCGTGACAGCAGCAGGTGGCGGAAGCGAGGGTCCATGAGGTCGGAGCTGCCTCAGACCACCCAGCGCTGTGGCGCGGGGCCGGGCCAGGCCCAGCAGCTCCGACTCGGTCCCATGAGGGTGGCCCGCAGAGCCCAACAGGCGCCTGGTCCCACGTCCACATCCTCCTTGCTCGGAGGGCAAGCCACTTAGCTACCCGCTGCCTTGGTTTCCCAATGTGTAAATCACATTAGCAAGGCTCACTGGGTCAAAGATTAAATAAGATGATGCATGCAGAAATTCACAGAGGGGTTCATAGCACACATAGTATCTTCTAAGACCAAAAATAAAAGGTGCTTCCCACATCTTACCGTGAACTGTCTTCGGGATAACGCTGTCCTACTGCTTCTTGGAGCTGGACGTTAAGAAAAGACACATTCTGCCAGGTTTCCTTTTCTCTTATTTTATCAAAAATCGATGTGTAGAAGTCATACATGGTATCCCCACCTTCCATCAAAAAGAAATTCCTCATGGCCTGCAGGTACTCCACCAGCCTGCAAGGGGACAGGAGGCAGCGTGAGGTGCTTCTCCATCTGTCACGGGCTCGGACGCGGATGTCTTCAGTGACGCACGTTTGCGTCCTGCACTGACTGTAGTTGGAGACACTAACACCTCTTAGCTATCGTGCCAGTAATAGAAATTATTTTTCCATAACACGCAAAACTGGGCAGTCACAAAAGTGTAACCAAAAAAAAAAAAAAAGGAAATCCAAATCCTACTGCTCAGAGAGAATTTCCAGTTTCTATTTGGGGTATTTCTTTCTAGTCTTTTTTTAATCTGTATTTAAAAAAGTACAGTCCTCACCATATTATATATGCTGCCTTTTCAGCTTTAAGAACAACATATATGGGGAAGGTTAGAGGGTGGAGGGACTGAGCAAAAAGGAAAAAGGACTCACGGACACGGACAACAGTTGGTGATTGCTTGGGGGAGAGGGGTATAAGTGGACTAAATGGTAACCGAAAAAAATACGATGAAGATTAAATTTTTAAAAGAACAAAATATGTTATTTAATACTCTGTGTACACATTATTTGTGTGAACTTCACTAAGTTCACACATGATATGTCTATGCCCTATTTATTGGGATGCCGTAATGTAAAGAACTGGTAATTGCACATTTTCCCCTCTGGTAACGAATTTTGTGATGGGCATTTTTGTGCGACAAACTTTTTCTGTTTTTCTTTTGGGACCGTGTCTCAGAAACAATTCAATGTCACAACACACGTAAGGAAACATTAATGGTTGACTGATTCTCTCAAAAGAGAACTGTTTACTGCACATCTGTTTCCCACTCGAATAAAAATTAACTGGAAACACAGGTTTTAAAATAGCTGCAATGGTTCTTAAAGAACAGTGAAATACAGGCTTCTTCCCAAACGGAATCCCCTCAGACCTGTAATCCGTCTTCAGTGTTCGCATGAGGTTTCCGCAGCACTGGAGATACTGCTTGTCGATATGGGGATAGAGGCAAGATCTCAGCGTTAACTCAAACGTCTGGCACGTCACCGACTCCGAGGACCTATCCACACAGATGTCTCCACCAGCAAACTTCTCGTGAAAGTCACTCTGTTCCAAATACAACCTTTAACATAAAAAAAAAAAAAAAAAAAAAAAGTCTTCTTTTAAGAGCAGCCGTCAACAGGGTTCTCTGAAATCAAAACTTCAGAGTGCCATTTTAGCCGCTGGTCTTAAAATTGCCAACTATTATAGAAAGAAATCTTTTTCCTCAAAACGTTTTTTGAGTGGGCCAGTTGTTCAGTCATTTCTGCCTTTAGGGTCCAGCACTCTGGGTCTTCCTAGCCACTAGGGCCCTGGCAGCGAGTGATGGCCTCAGGTAACGGTGCCATGTAGGTACCAAGCACCTAAAAGCCTCAAAGGGCTGAGACGCACGTTACGCACAGGGAAGGTCTGGCTCAGTGACTGTGTCCGATGCCCATCCATGACCCAGACTCCTTAGAGCATCTTCTGTCCCCGTGACAGCACTCCTCTGGGCCTGGGGACAGTCACAAACACCATGGGGGCAAAGGACACATCCGAAATAAGTGAGCACAGTATCTTCCTGTGTTCCTTTCATAAGGTAGGACAGACAACAAGGTTTTATCTTTAGGGCTGCAAAGCCCCGCCTGGCAGACATAAATGGGTCCTACACATGGCACAGATTCTGCCATTTCAACCGTCAGAAATGTAGCTGGGCCCTGCCTGGTGCGGCTCAGTGGACTGAGCGCTGGCCTGCGAACCGAAGGGTCAAGGTTCGATGCCCAGCCAGGGCACAGGCCTCGGCGGCGGGCCCCAGGTGGGGGCGTGCGAGAGGCAACCTAATCGGTGTATCTGTCCTCTCCCTCTCTTTCTCCCTCCCTTCCCCCTCTCAAAAATAAGTAAATAGAATCTTTAAAAAAGAAGGAAAACGAAAAAAAGAAGCGCCGCAGCTCGGGTTCACCTGGCGAAGTTGACGGCCAGCAGCGGGTCATGCTCGTCGTCGTCCAGCTCCGGGGGCCTCCCGGCGACGGACCGCGTCTTAGTTAGGCTCTCCCTGGCTGCCTGCCGCTCCGTGCGGGGCTGTGCGGGGGCGTCTTCTCCGTGTCGAAGGCGTGACTGCACTGATTCCAGAAAGAGGGTATAAAGGCTTTTTCTTTCTGCATCTGAAACAGAAAAATGTATGTCGGGTTACTTAAAATATTAAGTAACATTCAGAAATATTACGTGGTTTTATCCAAATACAGCCTGGTATTTTCCCTCTGGACTATGAGAGTCTATTCCCATTTCGTTACTTTTCTAATATGGCGCCACTAACCATTCTTACATCGCGTCAGACAACCGCAAAGTTCATGGTGAAACATGAAAGTGTAACCTAACTTTTTTCTGAACAACAGAAAACCCTAAGCAGGACAATTAAAAGTTAAGTTACCATGATACTGTACAGGCACTTCGTAATTTTACTGGAAAAAACACTCTCAAGATTGGCCCTGTAAAGCTCATTGCATTTTATTATTCAGTCAAAGGGAAATAGTCCAAAGTGAAAATATTATTCTTATTTTTTAAACTTTTATTTATTGATTTTAGTGAGAGGGGAAGGCGGGGGAGAGAAAAACATTGATTTGTTGTTCTACTTCTTGATGCACTTACTGGTTGATTCTTGTGTGTGTGTCCTGACTGGGAATCGAACACATAACTTTGGTGTATCTAGACGATGCTCTAACCAACTGAGCATCCACCCGGGGCCAAGTGAAAATACTGTTAAAGTAGATACAAAATAATTCATGTAACACTAAGCTGATTTACAAACAGAACAACCAAGGATCATATTTATACCTCTCAAATCTTTATAGTCAGTTGGTAAAACTTTAAGTACATTGTTTAAATTGCATCAAAAAAGACCAGAAATAGTATCAAGAATTTCTTGAACTCTATGGTCAAGTCTGAATTGCTCCCCAATGAATTCCTATCTGCCAGGGTTCATAGTCTTCCAGAGCGAAATGCTGCAAGGTATGCTAGGGAATTATTGTTAAAGGACCAGTCCTCAGGAATCAAGATTAAGGAAAATGCTTGTAGAACTTATTATTACTGCCTTTCAAATACAGCGCTAAAAGTTTCTTTCTTTTTTAAGATTTTATGTATTTATTTTTAGAGAGAAGAGAAGGGATGGAGAAAGAGAGGGTGGGAAACACCAGTCGGTTGCCTCTTGCATGCCCCCACTGGGGACCTGGCCCCCAACCCAGGCATGTGCTCTGGCTGAGGATCGAACCTGCTACTTTTCGGTTTGCAGCTGGCGCTCAAACCACGGAGCCACACCAGCCAGGGCAAGTGCTAGACGTTTCCAGTGGGGACCACCTTTTTTCAATTAGGAGCAGCATGACCTAGTCACACTTGATCTCGGTGGTAATTTCCATGTAACAAGAAAGCTTTGATGATTTTCAAACTACTAGTGTGGTTCACTTGGGTGCTGTTTTGCACAGCAAAATGTTGCAGGTTCGATTCCCGGTCAGGGCACACGCCTGGGTTGTGGGTTCTGTCCCCACTTGGGGTGCGTACGAGGGGGCAACCAACCGATCGATGTTTCTCTTTCTTTCTCCCCCACTTCCCCTCTTTCTAAAAATTGAAAAACAATAGAACAAACAACTCTGAAATCACTACGTATCTCGGATGACGAGAGGGAAGGGAGCGGTAGCCCCCACGCTGCAGAGGCGCGAGGGAAGCGCCCACCTCTGGCCGTGGCCGGGCCTGCGGGGCTGTCGCCGGCCTGCAGGTGCTTGAGCAGCTGCATGGACTTGCCGGCCATGATGATGTGCTTCAGGACGGGCCTGAGGAAGGACACCATGGTGTGCTGTCGGCTGGAGGGCCCCCGCTCGCTGCCGGAACTCGCGCTGGCGTTATCGCTCATTTTCTCCTCATTTTCTGTCTTCTCTGACACACTGTAGAGCGTGTAGGTTGCGTACCAGAAGTCTCTGTGATTTACCGGAACATTTTTGTTTCTGCAGAGATGCAAAAGAACTTTAAATGTTTATTCTTCTTTCCAAATGACAGTTCTCGCTTAGCCACGTTGTGCGGACATGCTCAAACACAGTGACTGCAATTACTGCTAAACCAAAGCGATGTCCAAGCAAACGGGGAGCGTTTATCTGTCTTCAGTTTCACATGGAAACGTGGATAAAGACTCTGAATGGCAGAGGGGAAATCTAACTAAATAGAAAGTTTCCTCAATTAACAAAATATGATTAATTTGTTCATCTCCTGTGGGGGTAATTTCCAGACTTCCACACCTTTTTTCCCCCCACATAGGTTCTCAGTGGGACTGCTTTGAGTAATGGAACGACAGACATGCCTCGCCATCTAAGAACAGCCAGAATCCCATTTTCCACACAAGTTCTACTGTGAGAAGAGATGGAACAGGACAGAATGGGAGGCACGAGCTGGCCTCGGGGCACGGCTGGCTCCTTTGTCTGAGCACTGAACACAGGGCCGTCTTTCCAGTGCTCTGAGGGCTGAGCCCGCCCTTCTTGCGGAGGCAAGTGAACGGCTGTCCATAAAACCACACACCCAGAGCACCCAACCTCACACGGAAATTAGAGGTGCAGATTCTATGATTCTACTCAGAAAAATCAATTAACTGAAGGGTAATGAAAAAAAAAAAAATAGCGTGCTGGCTTGTGTGGGTCAGTAGTTGAAGCGTCGTCCCGCGCACCAAAAGGTTGAGGGTTTGATTCCCGGGCGGGGCACCTGGTCCTGGTCGGGGAGCGTCTGTGACACAGCCAGTCGGTGTTTCTTTTTCATTTCAATGGTTGTGTCTCTCTTCTCTCCCACCCCGAGTTCCCAGTTAGTTCCTCTTTCTCTAAAATCAATGACTATACCATCCGGTGAGGATTAAAAAAAAAAAAGAAAAAACAAGGGCCGCTTGGTTGGAGGAATAACTATATTAGAAGCCTCTTCTGTAATATTTTCATACTTTTGTCTCACCGATGCTTTACACGGGAATAGCAGATGCCACAGGTCATCACCTGCCCTCGTTTTATGGGAAACACTGTGTCTTTTACCAGACCAGCCTCCATGGATACACTATCATTCAAAAAGGTACTTTGCAAAGAAAAGCTGTGAACTGACACAAAAATTGGCAAAAGATGTTTGGGGGCTGAGACGTGAGCCCTCCCAAGGCGACCACAGAGCTCTTAGCCGAACTGCTCTCCCTCAGCAGCACCCGAAACGAACGCACGCGCCCCGCGCTTTGTGTTGCCGCAGTCACCTCTGGATGATGAACTCCCGGGCGCAGTCGCCCAGGTGGCCGTGCGCGATCCACTCGTCCACAATCTGCAGGTAGGGCCGCACGGTCTCCACCCAGAGAGAGAAGAGCAGGGAGACCTGCAGAGACAGTGTGCACAGCCCACACTCAGCGCGCCCTCGTCTCTGCGTGAAACGAGGCTGACGCGGTTCTGAAACGCCGTTTAAAAAGTGACCAGATTTCTGGGTTTTGAAACAAAATAAGAAATTAAAACCCCAAAACACACGTTACAAGATCTTCATGAGCCCTGGCTGGTGTGGCTCAGTGGATTGAGTGCCAGCGAGTAAACCAAAGGGTCGTTGGTTCGATTCCCAGTCAGGGCACAGGCCTGGGTTGAGGGCCAGGTCCCCAGCAGGGGGCGTGCGAGAGGCACCCACACATTGATGTTTCTCTCCCTCTCTCCCTCCCTTCCCCCTCTCTAAAAATAAAGAAAGAAAGAACGAAAGAAAGACAGTCTTAGGAAAAAAAATCCTTATGAAAAATTCACCTACACATAAGATGAGCACATGTCTGTAGTCCACACCAGGAGCCCTGTGAGTGAGTTACTCAGGGACAATAGGGATATAGTTTTCCTATCTAAATGGCGCAATTAGCAAGATGTCCATTAAGAATGAGGACATGGTTTCATTCTACTATACTTCCAAGTAGGAAAAAAATTGCACAGCTGAAAGAAAGCAACCTCCTTTACACTGAGCTGCAGGACAAAAATGGTGAGAAAACAAAGATACACAAACTGGGAAACATACCTAAAATACGTCCCCGGACAAACTTGCGGCTTCCTAGATTACAGTGTCTAGGGAGCACTGCATTTTATAAAATTGTGGTAAAAAAATACATAACATAAAATAGACTGGCAACCATTTTTAAGTGCACAGTTCAATTGAGTTAAGTATATTCACACTTGTGAAAACAGATCCCCTGAACTTTTTCATGCTCGAAACTGCACCTCTTGCCCTGGCTGGTGTGGTTCAGTGGACTAAGAGCTGGCCTGTGAGCCAAAGTGTCCCTGATTCAATTCCCAGGAACGACACATGCCTGGGTTGTGGGGAAGGTCCCCAGTGGGAGGCGTGCAAGTTCGACCAAACGCTGACGTTTCTCTTTCCCTCTCCCTCCCTTCCCCTCTCTCCAAAAAAAACCCAAATAAAATCTTTAAAAAACAAAAGAAAACTGCAACTCTGTCCCCATTACATACCTCCCATCCCCCCAGGCCCCTGGCAACCACCATCCTACTTTCTGTTTCTAGGGCTCACGCTGCTACAGGTGCCCCATGTCACAGACGCGCAGTTTTATTTCAGAAGGGGCTCCTGCAACTATCTATGGAAGGCAGCTGGGTACTTTTCACATCTTGCTGTTATATTTTGTCCTTGCCACATCCTTTTGGTGATTGTGGCAATTATAACCTAGAACCTAATTTCAAAACCCTGCACCAGTGACTTAAGCACCGTTTTCACAAAGAGCTTCGACAGCTGTGTCCCACGCCTTGGCCAGGGCAGGGCAGAGCCACACGCTTGAGCTTGAGACTAGACGAGGGGCCACATACCGTTTGCTCGGAGGCTTCTCCCACGTTGTCATATTCGAGGATGGCCTTGTACAGGGTGTTAAGCAGGTGAGACGCCCGAACGACGTTCCGAGTGTCCGGCGGGACCTCTGCGATCCCGGTGCTGAAGACTCTGTGCAGAACCTTCAGCTGCCCCAGTCGTGGCGACAGCTTGTCCACCACGATGGCGAGAGTTACTGTAGTATCTGCAAGGGCCGCGGGATCACACTCATTAGCCAGGGCGCCTGGGCAGCCAGATGCGACAGAAGCGCCCAGCCTTGAGGGGAGGTGGGGCTGACGGGAGGCTGCTGCGTGTTTGCCTCCTGCCTCCTATACTTTATGTTCATAAAGACAGAACTTCCTGAGGAAAGAAACCAACTCAGCAGGGAAACAATGGATAAAGGAGCTGATGGGGAAGGAAACCCAAGTGATTCTTAGAGAGAGACACCCGGCCTCGCTTGTAACCAAAGGATGCAAATTAAAAACACACTGTGCAAAAAAAAAATAAAAATAAAAAATCAATCTCAGACTGCTGTTTCAGTGCGGGGGCGGGGGGACAGGGACTGGCTCCAAAGGGGAGGCCAGAGCCCGCTCTGAGTCCGAACATGGAGGGAGCTGTGGGAATGTACACATGTGACAACACGCCACAGAACCGCACACAGACCTTACTTTACGGGCACCTGGGACTCGGTACTTTGAGCAGCACGTGCATGTCAAGTGGAGGACAGCACCGGGCCACCATTCTACACCTGTCACACTGGTGAAGCCCACGGAACCGGGTTAGATGCTGCCTGCAAGGGCGGCATGTCGCTCACCTCTTCCTATCTAACAGTGCGGTGGGATCGACCCAAATCGCCCCTGCCTCTGCCTCTGCCTCTGGTCCGCACTCCCATGTTTTCTTTTTTAAAAATTTTTTTAGAGAGGCAAAGAGAGGGAGAAAGAAACATTAAGGTGTGGTTGTCTCTCGCATGCCACCTACTGGGGACCTGGCCTGCAAGCCGGACTATGCCCTGACTGGGAATCGAACCAGTGGCCCTGTGGTTCACAGGCCAGCGCTCAGTCCACTGAGCCACACCAGCCGGGGCGGAAGCACCCCTACTCTTGAGAACTCACGCTACAGACAACTTGCTGTCCACGTACAATGAATGACAAGTCCGGGGTTATCACTGCAGCACTGATGGCAATAGCAAAACATCAGAGGCAGCTTAAATGTCTACCACCAGGTCATTGGTCTGTGATACACCCACACAGCAAAAACTGAACTTGCAAAAAAGAACGAGGAGGCTCTTTATATATTTATAAGGTAATGATCCTCAAAAGTTAAGTCAAAAACTGATTTGAAGGGGGCAGTTAATAGACTTCCAGGTCTGCATGCGTGAATATGCATTGATTGCATTGTCTAAGTTATTTCTGGGAGGGAGCACAAGAGACCACGAGTTGGTTGCTTCTGGGGAGAGGAACTGAGCACTCGCCTGGGGAACTGGAGCAGGAGGAAAAATTGTCTTTTATTTTTATCCTCACCAAGGACAGGTTTATTGATTTTACAGAGAGGAGAAGGGAGGGAGGGAGAGAGGGAGAGAAATAGCTATGTGAGAGAGAAACATCAATCTGCTGCCTCCCTCATGCATCCTGGCTGGAACTGAACCGTGACGGAATTGCATCCTCGGCACGTGCCCTGACTGGGAAATGAACCTGCAACCCTTTAGCCTGCGGGACAAGGCTCCAACCAACCGAGGACACTGGCCAGGGCAGAAAAATTTTTGTCTGTCGTTACTGTTTGGATTTTTAAAGATATGAATGGCTTAAAATATAAATTTAAAATAATTTTAGCCCTGGCCAGTATGGCTCAGTTGGTGTGAGCATTGTCCTGTACACCAAAAGGTTGCAGGTTCGATTCCCAGTCAGGGCACATATTTAGGTTCTGTCCCCAGGACAGGCACATAGAGAAGGCCACTGATTAATATTTCTCCCTCTCTTCCCCTTTTTCCCCTCTCTCTAAAAGCAATGAAAAAATGTCCTCAGGTACGGGTAAAAAGTAATACTTTTAAAAATAAATGTATTTGAATTACTTATTTGCCATGGAATTTTCAAATCCTTTATCAATTAATAACCTAAATACCATTCAAAGTATGAGTTATGTGTCTTATGAGTAAAAGAGAAGAACATTTAAATACCGTTATTGATGATACACTTCTCGATTTCTGTAAGTTCTTCTTTGAAAGTAATGAAGTATTTGTACAGGGCCCACATGAAAGCCTGGTAAGTTCGAAAGGGGGCTTCGGCCAGCTTCTTGTGGCCGGATCCATTCCCAGGCAGCGAGCTCTCGGAGCTGTGCCCCATGACCTCGTCGATGAACTCCTGGAGCTGGAACACGACCTGCCCGTAGGCTGCCATCTGCTCCAGCACCGACCGCAAACAGCTCTGCAGGTCGACATGAGATGCAAAGGAAACACAGCCGTTATTTCAAGTCGGTATCTGCGAGCACGCAAGTCCACGCCCCTCACTATAAAACAGCTCCTCTGTGACTGCTTTGAACAGTGTGCTTAGGGGACAGCAAAGTAATAAAATAAGTATTTAGTTTTAGACCAAAATACGATGTGAACATTAATTTCTACAGAATATGAAATTGAGGCTTATACTTTTTATTTGATTGTATTAACTTTATTTTTTTATTGTATTTTTTCTGAGGCTTATACTTTTTAAAGACACACTTCAGGTAAATGCACTACAGGCAAAAAAATTACAGTATACAGCTTTGCCAATACAGAATGACAAATAAAAAGGAGAAAAAAACATAAATTAAGACCAAACATAACATCACAAATAATACTAAAGAATTCTCTAAGCACTGTTAATCTGCATAAATTAATTTTGCCTTTTGGGTCTTAGATATATTTAGTAGTTAGTGTTAATACTGAGAAATGTTCTAAAGTTATACATCCATGGTTTTCACAAATCCCATTATTTAATTTTAATTATCATATGCACAGTTAACTTACGTGGGTCAAATGGGTTACTGTAATATTGTTCCTCACAGTTACCTTCCCATCTATCAACTGGAATATGAAGAGCTTTTTGACTCCTGAAAGTAACCTGAAATGAAGTAAGGAATGTAAGTGTACTTTAAGCATAGAAAAATATTCCCTACAGTAATGATTAAGAATTTGAATAAGAGGCTCAGAATTGAGGAGAGCAAAGAGGTCAGACAACTAGAAAGCTGAAGACATTCATTACTCTTTGAATCTGATTCCATTAACACTCAAGACATTTAAAGCGCGTTCCCCCATCGGAGGTGGTCTGAACAGGCCGTTCTGGTTTTAAGAATGTCAACGCTCTGTTTCCGGGCAGAGGGGACGGGAGCCTGCAGAGCTGAGAGGGATGGCTCTACGGGGCGTGCTGTTCGCTGTCCTCTTCTGGGAACACAGTCTTAGCTTCCTGGTTCCTGGGGTGGGGCACAGGCTGTCATGGGGCTGCTCTGCGTACCACAGGCAGTGGGCAGCACACGGGGAGCTCTGCTTCGAACTCAGACATTAGAAAAGCGACGACCTAATTAAATGAGCTATATACAAGGTCCGGCACAAATAACGCCCCTTTATTTCAAACTCATATTACAAAATCACAAGCATGTAATTCTGTAACATAACAATATCACACTCAAGCACACTGTATGACATTTGGCGTGAAATGTTCCAATTAAAGCTGTCAATTATACCCCTATTATCACCCTACCAACTACACTAAAGCAGGCCTTACTTCTGCCCAACCCTGGATATTAAGCTATTCAAAACAAAAAAGGGGTAAACACATCAAAATCACAGTCTCCATGAAATCAAGTCTGGGCTTCCTGAGTCCCCAGTGCAAGTCTGGGTGCCCCCTGGGGACTGCTGAGGGTTCACACCTAAAGGCCTGTTTCCAGTTCACACATGAAAACTCCCTGGATGCTTTTGCTTACGTCACTAATAAAGTTGTCGAGACCATTGATGAGGTTGATAGGACTTACCACAGGGTTTCCCGGATAACCTGTGTCTCAGTAACAAAAACTCTGTCATCTGGAACATACAACGGGTCACTGCTGTACAAGTGCTGGTCCCTGTTAGAAAGAAAATATCCAATGTCAGTGGAAGGGTTTCTCATTTAGTGAAATTGCTACTCAAAGAATATATGCGAGTGAGTGGTAATTCGACCAGTACTCAATAAGCCAATGAACATACGACAGGCTCTCAATAGCCTGCTGTGTTTATTTTCACAAATCAATGAAGATTCTCTTGGAAAGGTACTTTCAGAGCAGTTCTGATTGTTACGTTTATTGCCGACTGAGGCAAACACTTAAACTATGTATCTTTATATTTTTTGTCAAAATGACAATAGTATTTTTGCAGTAAGTGCACTGAAATGGAAATCAAATAAATGGCTTTATAGCATTCCATTTACAAAAGACAGATTATGATTAAAATAGTAATTTCATTTTAAAAATAAAATTGAACACTGTTCAATTAAAATCGTTAAAAACACAGTGAGTTTAAATTGCAGGGAACGACTTGATTTAAATCGCACATCAAACCAAATATTATTATCAAAGTCTTTTTTTACCCCCAAAGGACAGACCAACAAGGCATAAGCTTTTTATTTCACCAGCCAGCCTGACGCTGCAGCTTTTCCGTCTCCAAGGCCCACAGAAAGCGCACTCGGACTTCCCACGCCCGGGGGAGAGGCTAGAGGCCGGAGGGGCGGGCCCAGCCCATCTGCAGCCAGGACCAGTGGCAGACCTTTCTCTCAAGTCTGTTACACAGGCACCAGCCAAACTTCCTCTTCAGCGTGAGGATGGACTTCTGTCTCAGTTTAATGGCAAGATGTGCAAACCCGTGGTCAGCATGTCCTGGGTCTCCCTCCAAGCGAGCTGGGCTGGACATTTGTGAACGGAGGCATTGCTCCTGGTCAAGGGGAAGCAAGCTCTATAGAAAGTGAAGCCACTCCTATCTCTGCGAGTGGTATGTGAGCTGCTTCCCAGCGTCCCGGAGAGGCCACAGCCCGCCCCACCCCGAGACACCACCAGCGCCTCATGCACAGCTACGTAAAAAGCACAACATCCTTTGTGAACGCTTAAAAAAAAAAAAAGATTTTATTCATTCATTTTCAGAGACAGGGAGGGAAAACGAGAGGGAGAGAAACATCAACGTGCAGTAGATACATTGATCAGTTGTGTCTTGTGCGTCCCTACCTGGGGACCTGACCTGCAACCCAGGAATGTGCCCTGACCAGGAATGGAACCAGCAGTCTTTTGGTTTGCAGGCCAGCGCTCTATCCACTAAGCCACACCAGGCAGGGCAGAATGCCTTTTTTTATACATACATACATACATACATTATTAATTATGCTGTTACAGTTGTCCTTTTTTCTCCCCTTTATTCCTCTCCCTCCCCTTTAGTTCCTGTCCATGGGTTGTACGTGTAAGTTCTTTGGCGTCTCCATTTCCTATACTATTCTTAACTTTCCCTGTCTATTCTGTACCTGTATTTATGCTTCTTATTCCCTGTACCTTTGCCCTATTCTCCTCCCCCCCCGCCCCCCACCCCGATCTCCATTTCTGTAATTTTGTTCCTGTGCTAGTTGTTTGCTTAGTTTGTTTTTGTTTTTTAGGCTCAGTTGTTGATAGTTGTGAGTTGTTGTCATTTCACTGTTCATAGTTTTTGATCTTTGTCTTAGATAAATCCCTTTAACATTCATATAATACGGGCTTGGGGATGATGGACTCCTTTGCCTTGACCTTATCAGGGAAGCACTTTATCTGCTCTTCCGTTCTAAATGATAGCTTTGCTGGATAGAGGAATCTTTCATGACTTTGATTACTTCTTTCCAGCCCCTTCTTGCCTGCAAGGTTTCTTTTGAGAAATCAGCTGAGAGTCTTACGGAAACTACTTTGTAGGTAATTCTCTCCATTTCTCTTGCTGCTTTTGATTCTCTTCATCTTTAATCTTCGGTAATGTAATTATGTGTCTTGGTGTGTACCTTCTTGGGTCCAAGTTCTTTGGGACTCTCTGAGCTTCCTGGAAGTCTATTTCCTTCACCAGATTGGAGAAGTTCTCCTTTATTATTTTTTCAAATAAGTTCTCAATTTCTTGCTCTTCCTCTTCTCCTTCTGGCACCTCTATGATTGGGATGTTGGAACGTTTAAAGTTGTCCCAGAGGTTCCTAAGCCTTTCATTTTTTTGAATGGTTTCCTCATTCTCTTTGGGTTGAATGTTATCTCTTCCTTCTGCTATAAATCCCTGATTTGAGTCCTGGTTTCCTTCCCTTTACATTTTTTTCCTGTATATTTTTATTTCTGTCACTTTGCATAGCCTTCACTATCTTCCTCCATTTTGCAACCATACTCAACCATTTCTGTGAGCATCCTGATTACCAGTGTTTTGAACTGTGCATCTGATAGATTGGCTATCTCTTCATTGCTTAGTTCTATTTTTGGAGCTTTGATTTGTTATTTTATTTGGGCCGTATTTCATTGTCTCAGCATGCCTGTTATGTTGGAAGGGGCAGAGCCCTAGGTGCTCGCAAGGGTAGGGGAAACCCAGGCTGCGTTGTGATGCTGTAAGTGGGGGAGGGGCCCGAGAGGGAACAACGTGCTTGCTCAGGCAGCTTTCGGTCACTTCCCCCACTACCCACAAGAAAACTGGGCCCTTCTAGTGCTGATTCCCGGGTGAGTGGGTTTGTGTATGTTCTGGGACCCTGTGGGTCTCTCCAACAAATTCTCCTGTGAGGTTGGGAGTCTCTCCTGCCGTGGCAACCCCCACAGGTGTTTACAACCAGAGGTTTTGGGGTTTTCTTTTTCTGCAGTGGAATGCGGGGTTGCGCTGTCTGTCTCGCTCCCCAGCTGCTCCTCCTGGTTTATCTGCGTGCAAACGCGGACTGCAGGATCCGCCAGCCACCGCCTTGCTGCGTCCTCTCTGCCCCAGCTGCCCACCTCTGCCCCTCCTACCGGCCTGGAAGAATGTTTCTTTAACTCCTTGGTTGTCGGAATTCCATACAGTTCAATTTTGGGGCAATTCTGGTTTATTTTTGTTTTTAAATGTGTTGTCCTTTTTTGTGCTGTGCAAGGAGACAAAGTGTATCTACCTACACCTCCACCTTGGCTAGAGTCCAGAACACTTTTTTTTTTTTGCAGGGGAACTTAGGAAAGGTGTGTGATGGATTTTTTATTCCCCTACTAGCAAAAGCTGTGTATCTACAGCGCGGGGGGGCCAGGTAGCTCCATTGGTTAGAGTGTCCTCCCAATATGCCAAGGTTGTGGGTTCAATCTTTGGTCAGGGCACAGACAAGCAGCAGCAAGTGAACAGGTTAATAAGTGGAACAATGTATCAGTGTCTCTTCCTCCCTTTCCTTTCCTCTCTTTCTAAAATCAATCAATAAAAATAAAGACAAATTATGTATCTACGCAAATGCATGTCCATTTTCAAGAAAGTTTTCTTGCCTATGACCGCAGAACCCCAGAGGCCAGCTACCCCCAGGCCAAGACAGTCTAGCAGCTGCACAGATCTGGTGCTGCGACACGTATGAGGCTTCTGTGTTGCCTCATAAAGCGACAGGGCACGGGAAGAGGAGTGGGTATTCGTGAGGGATTTTGCTTTGTCCACTGTCAGATCCAGGTTCTGGGGGCACGACGCTGTCAACGTAAGAACTGTCCAAACCTGACCCTGACGACAACTGCCGAGGAGCCAAGCCTCAAGGGATTGAGAAACCGCTCTAGAAAATGGCAGTTTTGTACCTTATTTTATACATTATAACCAAAAGAAGACACGTAAGTAGGTTGCATGAAATCCACTGGTGATAGATTACGGAGGCAGCGAAAGCAGGTGGGATGGGGTGGGGAAGCGAGGGGAGCCTCTGGGATTGGACCAAGAGAAAAATGACAGATACACACTTCATTTGCAGAGGTGGGGACAGGACAAGTAACAGTCAACAGTTACCAAGGTAACATAAATAATCAGGGGATCTGTGGTCTTCCTCTGGTGCCTCTGCTTTGAGGGGTCCAGAAAAAGGAAATTGCTTTGACATTCCAAAGGTAGCTTATCTTAGATGCAAAAAGACAACAACAGACAGACGTAATTAGGTGAAGACTGACCTTTGTCAGGGAATATTCCAGCCTAGGCTGTGAGCCCCGCCGCGACCTGCCTTTAGTTACTAACTTTCCCTGTCAGGCCAGCCTGTGTGGTCACTTTCGGCCTCTGGGTTTGCAAGGCCAGCGCGCAGGCCCCCCGAGCTGTTCAGGCAGGTGCCCTCCTGCCCACAAGGAGCCCAGCCCTGTCCCCATCACCAGAGAGGTCACCCTGTGAGGGGGCCGGGCCCATGACCGAGGAGGGCGGCCAGAGGCGGTGCAGGCCATCTGTGGCGGTGGCCTGGGACGCGGGTCTCCCACAGCAAAGTTCTACCGTCCTCACTTCACGGAAGAAACACAGAGTCCCTGCGGGGAGAGGCCGCGACAACATGTGTGACGTGCGCAGAGTGAGCCCAGTACGAGTCCCGTCCCGAACGCTGATGCAGAAGGCCTCGCTACCCCGCCAGCCGGGGTGCCGGGGCTCAGGACGGTGGCCGCACATGCTGTGTCACTGTGCTCATACTTGCAGAACTTGCTGTCAATGACATCTCACTCTCATCAGCTCCTGCAATTCCACAGCATCTCACTGGAAGCCACGGGAACACGTCTGCCCCCACCCAAGGGCAGTCACTCACTCCGGCCTCTGTCTGGACGCCAGCAGAGCAGAGCCTTCTGCGGGGGCAGCACAGGGGCCTTGAAACGCCAGCCCAGCAGCAGCCGCTCAGGCCAGAGGCCTGGGCAGCAGCGCCCCATCCGACCGGGGCCTCCAACTGCCACTCCGGACGGGCGGCCACGTGAGGGGGAAGGTTCCGCTCCCCAGTCACGGGGGACATGCGGGGAGGCAGGGCTTCCCTATGCATCTTCACTGTTCCGATTCCAACCTAGACCCAAACTGGATGCCCGCCAGAGATTCAGCTCTGGCAGGCCCCAGCCAAAGTTTCTTCTATTAATTAACACAGTAAATGAAACACTGGGCTCTTACCAGACAGCAGCTAAATTGGAGTGCAAGTGCAGACTGTGAGGAAACCTCGAGGAGCGCGCTGTCCAGTACTGACGGACCACGTGCTGCTCCAGCCAGCTGCGGGCGTCTGGCTCATCCGCTGGAGGAAAGGTAACGTGGTTAAGTTATGCGTTAACAAGAAAACACGATCACCTTTGCAACAGTATCTGAGCTCATAGCTCCATTCAAATATTCAGTAGAAAAAGGCTCTTTAAAGTAACAGCTACCCAACAGTACTTATGAACGTAATCAGTTATTTAAAACTGTATGTATTACAACATAGCTAATCTGAGTTCGGCTGAACATGACAGAATAGGTAAACACTATGCTCGCCTCCTCCCACAAACACATCCAAATTATAACTAAGCTAGGGAACAGCCATCACTGAGAGCTGCCTGAAGTCTAGGTGAACAGAATTCCTGCAGAAAGGAGTCACATCAAGACTGGGAGAAGCGGTGGAGACACAGAATGAGCTGGGCCCACACCCACGTGTGGTAGCTGAGAATCAGGAGGGATATCTTGGCTGCGAAGGTCCCTCTGAGGAGCTAGAAGTCCCAGCCCCACACCAGGCTCCCCAGCCAGGGCTTCCAGTGCTGGAAAGAGGAGACCCCACGATACCTGGCTGTGAAAACCAGCGGGGACTCCGTCTCTCCAGGTGAGATGGGAGTCTGATAGAAACCAAGGCACCCACTTAAAGGGCCTGTACGCAGACTCACTTGCCAAGACAGGGAAACAAGCGAAGTGTCCACTGACGGATGACTGGATAAAGAAATGGTGCATATATACAGTGGAATATTACTCAGCCGTAAAAAAGAATGAAATCTTACCATTTTCTAAAAAAATGGATGGGCCCTAAAGTCATTGTGCTAAAAGAAACAAGTCACACAAATACCATATGATTTCACTTACATGTGGAATCAAGAAAACAAAATAAATTAATAGAACAGAAATTGACTCACAGATACAGAGAATAGACTGATGGTCGCCAGATGGGAAAGGGGGTTGGGGAGCTGAGAGAAAAAGGTAAAGGGAGTAAGAATTAGAAATTGGTAATTACAAAACATTGGGGGGATGTAAGGTACTGCATAGGCAATATAGCCAATAACACTGTAAGAACTATGCGTGGTTTCAATGTGCTCAAGACTTATGGAGGAGGGGTTCACTTCATAGGTTATATATATATGTCTAACCACTATGCTCTACATCGGAAAATAATATAATATTGAATGTCAACTGTAATTGAAAAACTGAGAAAAAATTTTAAAAAATAGTTAACCCAATCCAATAGCGTGGTAAAAAAGTAACCGAAAGATCCTGGAATTGTAGTTCGAGAACGCTTTACTACCAGAAAATCTATCAATGTAAGAGTAGAGTAAAAGAAAAACATTATCGGATTACATTCCAAGTGAAGAATAGAATTTGATAAAGGCCAGTATTTATTCACGGTTAAAGACTCCTAGAAACACAGGAATAGAATGACACTGTCTCCATTTACAAAGGCCACATGCCCAGAACCTGTGCCCAAGCTCACCACACCGCAGGGAGGAGTTTCAGGTGCAAGCCTCTTAGGATGGACCCACCCATCCCCACTGCCCCGCTTCCTTGGCCAGAAAAGAGGGACTGTTAACACGCCTTAGAGAAGACATAACATAAAACTGTCAGTATTTGCAGAAGATGCTGATCTATACAAAAAAAAAAAAAAAAACCTAATGGAAGAAACAAGCTATTATAATTAAAATGAGAGGTGAGCAAGAAAGTTGGATGTAAGAACAATTTACAAAACCTAATAGTGTCCGACACACTCAATGCAAACAAAAATGACACCACTCACAACAGAAACTGTTAACATTGTAGGAAGTAATGAAAATGTGGGAAATATTATCTAGACATCCAAAGAAGTCTGAAGGGTGAGGCTGGGCAGAAAGGACATGGAGCCCACAGGAAAAGCAAGCAAAGGGGTCGATAACGTTGGAGCACGCCACAGGGGACCCCTAACAAAGATGTGCAGTCGCAAAGGGTAGACTCCCCCACAGCGGCTGGGCGGGACAGAAGAAATGTTCACAGGAAGACAAGGGCAGATTTCACTCAGAGCTCCAGGCAGAGAGGAACAGGCCCAAGGGTACACACAGCATCGCACCTGCATGCAATGTGAAATCAGAGCCCGCCGACCAACCCGATGTGTTTTACAAGCAGTGAACACGTGAGAACACAGGCATCCGCTCCGTCAGAGCAGGTGCCTGCGACCAGGGACGCGGTGAGCACGAAATGCCAGCGGAGGGGAAATAAATGCAAGGCCTGGAACACACCAGGGTCGGTGAGAGATTCCATGTGGACTAGGCCACGCTTGCCCTAAAGGTCCCAGTTGAGAATTAGAGAGGAAGGAAAGGAAAAAGAAAACCAGAAAACCATCAGGATGCTAAAATCAGCTTTAATGACTCCGTGTCCATTTAGCAAGGTACAAGTCCAGCGCATAGGGCCTGCTCATTGTCCCCCGCTGCGGGGGCGCCAGTCACGGCTACGTGACCGTGGGAAAACCATGGTAGCCAGGCCTTTGTTTCTCTATCTACAAAATGAGAGGTAGGATTAGGTGCGCTCATCTATCAGGTTGCTTCCAGCTCTTTCTAGATTCTACAAATTCACAGCTCTTCACTAGAAACCGAAAAAGCAGACATCCAAATTGAAAATTAAATGGTATAGAGCTTTTCCTTTTAGTTAACCAACCTTAGCAACGGCCATCCTCCGCCAATAGAAACGAAACGAAAACACGGAAGCTCAACAAAGTTCTCAGAACTATGAAAAAGGAAGAAAACTGCAGTCTAAATCCCGTTTCGACATTAATTCTATAATGCTACTTAGGCAGTTATGGAAGAAAGAGCTGATGACTTAGAAAGACCTGTGTCAGTGCTGGCCGGGTAGCTCAGCTGGTTGGGGCACCGTCCACATGCACCAGGTGGCAGTTTGATCTCTGATCAGAGCACATAATGAGAGTCAGCCAATGAATGCGTAAGTAAATGGAACAACAACTCAGTGTTTCTCTTTCTCAAATCAATAAATAAAAATTAAAAAAAAAAAAAAGAAAAGAAAGACCTGTTTTGTAAGGACAGCAGAGCCTACCAATATCTTAAATAACATGGAACTGATTCTCAAAGCTTGCCTTTCTCTCTAGAGAATTCTTCTGTTAGACAGGGATACCAGCCCTGACTGGTGTGGCTCAGTGGGCTGAGTGCTGTCCTGCAAACTGAAAGGTCACCAGTTCAATTCCCGGGGAGGGCCCATGCCTGGGTCGCAGGCCAGGTCCCTGGGTTAGGGGTGTATGAGAGGCAACCAATTGAAAAAAATTGATGTTTCTCTCCCTCCCTTCCCTGTCTCTCTAAAAATCTTTTTTTAAAAAAAAAGAGCAGATGCCGGCATCCACGAACACACGGTACCTTTCCAGCTGACACGTGGCCCTGGTTTTCTGTTGTGCTCTTGTTCATCTAATGGTGTCCTATCCACCTGAATCCCAGAGTCCTCTCTGCTCAAGGGCTGCTGATCATCTTCATCCTCACTTTCTTCAGACCAGTTCTGATTAAAAGAGGAAATACCCCTTACCCTTGGAAGGTATAACACCTGAAGCTATTTGTATTAAAAGATCAGGAACATTTCAGAAGAAAAGCAGCAACTCCCCCAAAGGAAACTTTTTCTAAATGTCTTGAACGTTACTATTACAGGGTGGAATTATTTTTGCTGGCAAAAATCCCAAGAGTCTCCGCTCCTGAAAGGCTACTTTAAGGATACTCATTCCGTTCAACACCCCCGTACTAATGATTTTATGCAAAACCTTAATAAATCTTCCATAAGAAACTTCTCATTGAAGAGTGTTCACATTTCAGTCGAGTTGCTTGTAGGCCAGAGGACCCATAAAAATCACCTACGTCACTTGGAATATATACATATATTTTTAATAGCAAAACTACTGCCACTGACCGGTGTGTCTACATTCGGACTAAGGTCAATTTCTTCACCTTCCATCAAGTATTTTCCCCAGTCGAAATCATCTTTCTTTTCTGAAATGTAAGAGAAGGATTTCATTGGCTTTACCAAATATATGTGAAAAAACCCCAAAACTATAAGAAAAAAAGTCTTCCAAGACTCAAAATAAAATGCACTTGGGAAATGATTCAAGTACATTTTAAATTTCTTTATCTTCAAAAGTGATTCTTCTCTTTAGATGAATACAGTTGAAAGTTGTTCAAATTACCAAGTCAGAATTTATACTTTAAATGAAAATTTGCAATTGCAGTTGTATCCAATGCCAGATAAATCTTTTAGTTTCATCGATTTTTACAAAGTTTTATAAAGTCTCAATATCTAACAAGCGATGAAACTAATTTTTCTTCTTATACATTAGAGCGTCTGATAACGTACCCACTTCTTTGTCTCTTGGGGTCTCCACGTAAGTGCAGTTTGAAGGAGAGTCAGAGAGACACAGAAGAAGGGACAGTATGGAATAATGTGCATCCGTCTGTAAAACAGAAATGAAGACTGTGAGCCGCGGAGGTTGGTAAGCGCTTTTAAAACCAGTCTGAGTCAAGAAAAGATAATCCCATGACAGTTATATCCCCAACTGTTTTCCTCGGTTGAGAAAACAGGAATTATACCGAAATAAATCCTGATCTCTAAAATATTCTTTAAAATTTTATTTTTCAGTTACAGTTGACATTCAATATTACTCTGCATTCGTTTCAGGGGTATAGCATAGTGCATAGGCCATCGTATATTTTACCAACTGTTCCCCTGATATTTCAAGTGCTCACCTGGCATTGTATTTATTACAGTAGTATTGACTGTATTTTCTATGCTGTACTTGAACATCCTTGTGACCATATCTTTAGTTTTTAGAGAGAGGGGACTGAACCAGTGACCTCTCACTTTGAGGGGGGACGCCCCACGAACTGAGCTACAACCATCAGGGACCTGTGACAGTTTTGTAACTTCCAATCTGTACTTCTCAATCCCTTCCCCTTTTTTCACTCCAACCTCCCTCCCCTCTGGCAACCGCACTCCGTTCTCTGTGTCTATGAGTCTGTTTCTGTTTCGCTTGTTTATCTTTGGGCCACACATAGGTGAAATCGTAAGATATTTGTCTTTCTCTGCCTGAGGTACTTCACTTAGCGTAACACTCTCTAAGTCCTTCCGTGTGTGCTAAATACTAAGATTTCATTCTTTCTTTTCTTTTTCTTTTCTTTTTTTTTTTTTTTTGGTGAAGTAGCATTCCACTGTATATATGTAGCACTCTAAACCACTTTTATAGTTCAAATGTGTACACATAAGGGACCTGTCAAAAATGCATTACCTAAATTGTAATGAGGAATCGTCTGACAAAAAATTAAGGGACACGCCACCAAATAACTGGCCGGTGTAATTCAGGATGTCAAGGTCAAGAAGAAGGAAGGCCGAGGAACTGTTCCAGATTAGACACCAACTGAAAGATCTGAGGCAATGGAGCACAGGAGTTCCTTTTACTATTCTTTATATATTTTTTTTAAAATGTGAATTGTATTTTTTAAATTACCCATAAAAATTTACCAAAAAATAAAAACACCCCAAATATGCTAAATGTCATAAACTATGCTGCAGGGAAGGTGAGGGAAGTCAGACGCCGAAAGACAAGTTCGTTCTCCCCCCTCGTCTGTGGTCCTTCCTGCGTCTCCCAGGGTCAAGCATCGTCGTTCTTTGGTGATGCCATGTCTTCTTTATTCTGTATTCCTACCACTTAGTATGATGCTAGGGACAGAGCAGACAGTTGCTAAACTCTCCTGGAAACAAGAAAGTAATATATCACTAATAAGGCTGCAAGGAGCTGACCTTTTTGCAGCCTTATTTCTCACGTGCTTAAAAATGCTTGACACTCCTGGTAAAGACGGAGGCCTAGGCACCCTTAGCTCCCTCCTCGCACAACCACAGCAAAAATTACAACTAAACTACAAAACAACTATCGCCCAGGATCGTCAGAAAATCAAGCTGCATGGAAGTCCAACAACCAAGGAATTAAAGAAGTCACATTCATCCGCATGGACAGGAGGGGCGGACATGCGAAGAGGCAGAACAGGTGGTCCCACGGCCACATGTGGTGGGTAAAAATTGGGAGGGATACCTCGGGAGCAACGGGTCCCAGTCCCACACCAGACCACTCAGCCCAGGGCTCCAGTGCCAGAGAGATAAGTCCCCAGAACTTTGGCTGTAAAAATCAGTGGGGTTTGAGGCAGCAGAAGAAACTGCAGGTTTCCCAGGCGTCTCCTCTTGAAGGGTCTGCAACGGAGTTAGGACTTCCGCAGACTCCCTCGTCTGGGCTCCAGCAGCAGGGCAGCAGCTGGAAGGGCACCAGTGGCATACGGGGAGGAACGGAAGGGCCGGCGTCAGGAGAGTGCCGGGGGACAGCTCCCTCCCGGACAAAACTCCAGAGGCCAGGCAGTGGCCAAGGGCCCTTTTCTGAGCCCTCACATATCTGAGACTCCATCAACCAGATTAGCACAGGCCGCCCCCGCCCCCCATCAGCGAAGGCCCCGCCCCATCCAACCTAAGGGTGCGCTTTTCTACAGTAGGAGTCAAAGCCGCGCTACCTAATACATAGAAAGAAACGCAGGGAGGCTGCCACAACAAGGAGACAAAGAAACATGGCCCAAGTGAAAAATAGAACAGAACTCCAGAAAAAGAGCTAAACGAAATGGAGCTAAGCAATCCGTCAGAGGCAGAGTTCAAAGCGCTGCTTATCAGGATGCTGCGGGGACTCCCTGGGTATTTGAACAACATAAACAAGACGCAGGCAGAAATGAAGGCTACACTAAGTGACATAAAGAAAAATTTACAGGGAATAAACAGTGCAGGGGATGAAGCTGAGAATCAAATCAATGATTTGGAACATAAGGAGGAAAAAAAAACATTCCATCAGAACACAGCAAGAAGGAAAAAGAATTAAAAAAAGCGAGGATGGGGTTAGGTGCCTGTGGGACAACTTCAAACATGCCAACATTTGAATCATAGGGGTGCCAGGAGGAGAAGGGAAAGAGCAAGAAGTTGGAAACCTATTTGAAAAAATAATGAAAGAAAACTTTCCTAATTTGCTGAAGGAAATAGACATGCCAAGTCCAGGAAGCACAGAGAGTCCCAAACAAGATGGACCCAAAGAGGACCACACCAAGACACATGATAAAATTAAAATCCCAAAGGTTAAAGAAAAAGGGAGAATCTAAAAAGTGGCAAGAGAAAAGCAGAGAGTTACCTACAAGGAAGTTGCTATCAGCTGATTTCTCAAAAGAAGCTTTCCAGGCTAGAGGGACTGGCAAGAAGTATTCAAAGTCACAAAAAGCAAGGACCTGCAACCTAGATTACTCTATCCAGCAAAGCTATCCTTTAGAATCGAACGGCAGATAAAGTGCTTGCCAGACAAGATAAAAGTAAAGAAGTTCACCATCACCATTATTACATGAAATGCTAAAGGGACTTACCTAAGAAAGAGTAGAAGATCAGTCCTGGTTGGTGTGGCTCAGTGGATTGAGGGCTGGCCCATGAACCTAAATATCACCAGTTCGATTCCCGGTCAGGGCACATGCCTGGGTTTTAGGTCCCCAGATGGGGGTATGCGAGAGGCAACTGACTGGTATATCTCTGGCACATCGATGTTTTTCTCCCTCTCTTTCTCCCTCCCTTCCCTCTCTCTAAAAATAAAAAAATAAGATCCTTTAAAAAAAAAAGGTCTTTCAACACATGGTGATGGGACAACTGGATATTCATAGATCAAACAAGGTTAACTTAGATCCTGCCCTCAAAACATAAACGACAATTAACTCAAAATGGATCCCAGATCTAAATGCAAAGCGTTAAAATTGCTAGAAGAATCCACCACCGGAGAAGATTCTGGACAGCTCTGAATCAGACAAAGAGGTTTTAAACATGCAAAAGCTGGAGTCAAGGGAAAAAAACAAAACAAAACGAAACTGATGAATCAAGCTTTGTTAAAATAAAAAACTTTTGAGCTTTAACAAAATGAGAAGATGCCCTGGCTGGGTAGCTCGGCTGGTTAGAGCGTCACCCAGATATACCAGATGTGCTGGTTTGATCTCCAGTCAGGGCACATACAAGAAGCAACCAATGAGTGCAGGAATAAGTGGAACCACACTTCTCTCCCCTACCACCCCTCTAAAATCAATCAATAAAAAAAAAATGTAAAACTGAGACGATAAAATAGGAACTGGAGGAAAATATTTGTCAACCATTTTTCCGATGAACTTGTAGAGGAATATATAAACAACTGTGATGACTCAGTAAGAAGACAAGGAATCCAATGAAAAAATGGATGAAGACTTGAATGGGCATCACAGAAGCCATACGAGTGGGTAAATCACACACAAAGAAACGCTCAACAACATTAGTCACTAGGGAAATGTAAACGAAAACCACAATGAGATATGACTACATACTCTCTAGGATCTCTACAATCCAAAAGGCAATAAGAAGTGTTGGCAAGAATGTGGAGAAACGGGAACCCTTAGACATCGCTGGTGGGAATAGAAAATGAGAGCCACTTTGGGAAAGAACTTGGAGGTTTTTTAAAAGGTTAAACATAAGCTGGCCATCTAAGTCAGCCATTCTACCTCTAGAAACCTACCCAAGAATGAAAACTTATGTCCACAAAAGTTTGCTTGTAGGAGCGAGTTCATGATTCATACTAACCCAACACTGACAACAATCCAAACAAACGTCATCCACATGTGAATAAGCAAAATGTGGCGTATCCGCACAAGGGGACACTCTTCAGCATTCAAAGGGAATAGAATTTGGACACGTACTACAATGTGGGCGAATGTCAAAAACATCTTGAAAGAAGAAGGCACAAAAACTGCGTATTATATGGTCTCATTTATGAACTGCCCAGAAAGGCACATTCAGAACTACAGCAAGCACATCAGCAGTTGTCCGGCGCTGCCGTGGGAACGGGCGCTGACTGCACATGGGCCTGGGGGGAACTTCCGGGGTGACGGAAAGTGCTCTAACACGGGACCGTTGTTGCATGACTGCAATTTACTAAAATTCAGTGACCTGTGCATTCACAGTGGGCGGATTTTATGGCAGGTAAATTGTATATATGGCGTGTGTGTGTGTGTGTGTGTGTGTATTTATGGCCTGTAAATAAAGCTGAAAAAACTATGAAGCTATCGTTACACCACAACAGGAGTGTCGAGGACGCCGCAGCAAGGGAGGAAAGGGCAACCAGTTCTGGCACAGCTTTCCCTCTTAACATTGATGTGACAGAGAAACATCGACTGGTTGCCTTTCATATGCACCCCGACCTGGGACCGAACCTGCAACCTAAGCATGTGCCCTGACCAGGAGCCTGAGACCTTTTGGTTTGAGAACAACACCCAACCCACTAGGCACACCAGTCAGGGAACAGAGATTTATTTCTTCAGCAAATATGTATTGTTTACCCTTTCAAGGTACCTAAGAACAAATCAGAGGTAGAGCCCTACACTGGTAAAACTCACATGTTTGAGGGAGAGACAGGAATCCTGGCCAGTGTGGCCCTGTTGTTTGGAACACTGTTCTATAGATCAAAAGGTCGCAGGTTCGATTCCCAGTCAAGTCACATGCCTAGATTGTGGGTTTGGTTCCCAGTAGGGGTGTGTGTTAGAGGAAACCAATTGATGTTTCTGTCTTACATGATGTTTCTCTCCCTCTCTCTCTCCCTCCCTTCACCCTCTCTAAAATCAATAAGCATGTACTCAGATGAGGATTTAAAAAAAAAGGGGGGGGGAGAGAAAGGAAATGACAACATAAAAAACAAGTGAAATACATGATATGTATAGAGACCACACCTGGGAATAACATCAAAGGGTGGGGTGGTTCGACAGGGAGGAGGGGAAGGGCGTCGCAGGAGCAGCACGCAGGGCACACACAGCAGAGCCCGGGACGCAGCTCCTCTGCGCTCACGGGGCCCAGCAGCTCAGGGTGCACAGAGAAACGACCGGAGGTGGCAATCCCAGAGTCAAAGTCAAGTCAGAAGTGACGCTCACTGTACAACAGTGGCCTAGATGACACTGAGCTTAAGGCCTTTGCCTTCCCCCAATGGGAGGAGTAACAGCATCTACTGAATGTGGCGGCTGGGGCTCTCAAAGCACCTGGCATGTACTGAGCGCTCTAAAACATTTGCCATTATTTTCATTAACAATATCATGGTGTCACAGGACCTGTGTATTAAATTCCACAGGCTGCCCAGAACGCTACACGAAATGTCTCAGGGAGCATGTCTCCCCGCATGGCACAGACTCAGAGACCGCAGCTCTCTCTTCTCCAGAAGTACCTTCCCAGCCCTTCCTGAAGCCGTCTAACGCTCCCTTCCTTAGGCCACCCGTTCCCACAGTGTAGAGTGCAAAGGGTGTCCAACATGTTGGCGTCTCTGGGCCATACTGGAAGAAGAAGGTGTCTTGGGCCACACATTAAACACAAAGACACTAACAAAAACTGATGAGCGCAAAAAAAAAAAAAAAAAAAAAAAAGTTTTTAATTACATTTACGATTTTGTGTTGGACCGCATTCTCAGCCATCCTGGGCCACATATGACTCACGGGCCACGGGCTGGACAGCCCTGCTAAACAGAGGGAAAGCCTAGCAATAAGTAACGGAGGTCACTGGAAAGACCAAACCAGTTACCTCAGAGGCCTGGCTGCCCCAACTGGGCACGCCTGAAAGGTCTTCAAGAGTGGCATGGGACTGGTTCCCAAGCCCCTGGGGTACCCTGCAGAGAGAGGGTTTGTGCGTGCTAGAGGTTTGGGGCCGCACACCAGACCGTTCACGCTACCAATGTGACTTGCGGTGGCCGTGCGCCCTTCTTTCGTATGCCCGAGGTCCTCGGCTTAACCTCTGTGGGGCTGGAGACCAAGCGGCAGGATCGGCCACATGGGCACTGTACATCCATGTGACTGACCCCAACAAAAGCCCTGAGCACCCGAAGCGCCGGGGAGCTTCGCTGGTTCGTGGCACTCTGTGTGCGCTGTCACACATTGTCACTGGGCGAACTAAAGGCATTCCCCTGTGACTCCGCTGGGAAGGAACATTGAAAGGCTGGTGCCTGGTGCCTCCTGGCCCTCACCCTGGGCACTGTTTCCCTTTGCTCATTTTTAATCTGTATCCTTTCACTGTAGTAAACTGTAACAGGGAAGAGAGCAGCTTTTGTAAAGTTTTGTAGATCCTTCTAGAGAATCATTGAGCCTAAGGGTGGCCTTGGGGACCCACGACTGAATCTGAAAGTGCTTACAACAGCACCTGGCATCTAGAGAGCATTACACAGGTAGTTCTTACTACCAAGTGCTGAGAAGCCATTTAAAACACGGTCCCCAAACTCCGGGCCATGGACTGGCATCGGTCCACACGTGTTAGGAACCGGGCCACACAGCAGAAGGCGAGTTTGGATGTAATGCACTTGAATCATTCTGAAACCATCGCCCCCACCCGTGGAAAAACTGTCTTCCATGAAACCAGTCCTTGGTGCCAAAAAGGTTGCGGACCGTTGCATTAAAGGACTTAAGCTGGCCCTGGCCAGTGTGGCTCAGTTGGTTGAGCGCCCTCCCACAAACCTAAAGGTCGCCGGTTCAGCTACAAATTGATGTTTCTCTCCTCCACTTTCTCCCTCCCATCCTCTCTCTCTAAAAATAAAATAAAGTAAAATAAAACAAAAATTAAGGAAAAAAAAAAAAAGACTTAAGATAGCCAGACAGCTTTTTTTCCCCCGTGCTGTTAGCGCTCTTGCAAACATGGTGACTGTTCCTAAAACCCACTGGATTTTCTGTAAGAAGTGCAGCGAGCATCAACCAACCAAGTAACACAGTATAAGATTTCTCTGTACGCACAGAGAAAGCAGCATTATGACAGGAAGCAGAGCGGCTATGGTGCGCAGCCTAAGCTGATTTGCCGAAAAAAGGCTAACACTACAAAGAAAACTGTGCTGAGGCTTGAATGTGCTGAGCCCCACTGCAGATCTAAGAGAATGTTGGCTATTAAGAGATGCAAGTATTTTGAACTGGGAGGAGATAAGAAGAGAAAGGGCCACGTGATCCAGTGGTAAGCTTCATTTTTTGTTTTATCATGTGACGATAATATCTTGAGGATATGCTCACTCAAAAAAAAAAAAAAAGAAAAAAGAAAAAAAAAAAGGTTGCCAGAGAGTGCTGTTATGTGTGCCAATCTCTGATCTCAATTTTCATAGTAGGTGGGGGCTGAGGTGATTAACCAAGAGCTTTTGCATTCACCTCAAGCCTGAGCCACACCGGGCCCCATGGCAATACGTGCGTTGTTTTCCAGGATATTCGGCTCTAGCCAGTGAACAACACTAAAAGAGTGAGTATTTGATTAGCAGAAACAAGTTGACAATGATCAGATTGCAAATGGTTAACATACACGTCAGAGATCTCACAATGCAAAGCCTACCTTTATCTCCTTTGTGCTTGGAAGGGACGCATTTAGAAATTCCTCAGTTAATCTCTTCCAACTAGCAGCTTTACTGAGGTCAGAATGAATGATAAATTTTTCATAAATTCTGAAATATATTTTAAAAAATCAGCGGACAGTCATAGAGCTGTATGAAGAAAAAGATCTATACATATAGGCATACGTATAAAACTGACTTACCCTTCTATCGTCTTTTCTACTTTGTGACTGTTGACGTCCAAGAAACGATGAAATCTAGAAGATAAAATGCAATTCTCATAGCAACCTTGTCGCCTCGCTAAGCAGACTGGTATCGCCGCACTCCCTGTTCCCGACACACGCTACACTCGGGGATACTCAGGAGTGCACGCCTCTCACTGTATCCCCTCCACCATCCAGGGACGACCACTGCACCTGAGAGTGCACGGGCACCCTTCCAGCAAGACACAGGTCCTCCTGCGCCACCCAACCCGGTCCTCTGGCTCCTTTGTCTTCCCATAATGCCCTGTGCCTGAGCCCAGCACACTGCATCCTGTACTGGGTTCCTAATCTTTTTATGCCATAGTGATGCCTAGGGAAGATTTGGGACCCCTTCTCAGAATGTTTTTTTTTTCAAGATTTTATTTATTTTCAGAGAGAGGGGAGGGGAGAGAGAAAGAGGGGGAGACAAACAAAAGTCGGTTGCCTCTTGCATGCCCCCAACCAGGGGTTTGGCCTGCTACCTGGGCATATGCCCTGCCTGGGAATCAAGCTGAGGTCCCTTTGGTTCACAGACCGGTGCTCAATCCACTGAGCCACACCAGCCAGGGCTCAATGTTTTTTAAATCATAAAATGAAATATACAAAGGTAACCGAATATCCTGAAATACAGTTGTGAAGTGTTTCTGAAAGTCTGTGATATAATGAGATATTTCCTTTTTTTTAGTGCTTAACCGAGGACATTTTTTCATTGCTTTTAGGGAGAGAGGACATGTACACACACACCGATTGGTTGCCTCTCGTATGCACCCCGACCGGGAATTGAACCTGCAACTTGATGGGGGATGGAACACACCAACCTTCTGGTGTGTGGCATGACTCTCCAACCAGCTGAGCCCCGCCAGCCAGGGCAAGACATTTCTTTATTAAATAGCAAGGTCTTGCAGTGGGTGTGCAACTAACATTAAAGTGACAAACAATATTTAGCAATATCTGCAACAACTATAATATGACATTAAATGTGTCATTTCTACTGGTGACACACTCACGGGTAAGGAAATATTGCTTGTAGCTTTCATTCATAATTAAAGAAATGTTACTTTTTAGTTAGATGTTGGTGTAAATTTTTTCTTGTCCAAATTCATAATACCTGAATTACATCTTCAGGCCCTTGTGTTAGGAACTCCTATTTTGTATCATATGTGATTAACTTTTGTTTCTCTCTTCCTTAAGGACAAAGACTATATTTCACCTACCTCTGAATTTCTAAGGCCTGCAACACGGCCACAATCTTTAAAAAAGCAAACAAAGTGTTCATTGTTTTGATGGATTAAAGGTTCATAAAATTACAATGTAGCAGAATGACTCTTGTTTTTCATTTTTTAGTATCAAAGCCAACAATCTTTACTTAAAAGAAGTAAATTACACTACCAAATAACATTAATTCTGTCTTCTAAATGGCTGAGTGGAACGCTATTATAATTTTTTTAGTTTCTCAATGTGGAAAAGGAGATGGTAATTTCTAATGTCTTTCCTAACTCTAAAATGATGTACATCCACTTACTGGTATTTAGAAAGATTAATAGAAAAATTATTTGGGGTAGAGCATTTAAATTTTTGTCCTTGTCACTGTCTTTACAATAGCCAAGTTATGGAAGCAACCCAAGTGCCCATGAATAGATGATTTAAGAAAAAAGATGTGATACACAGGTACAATGGAATATGACTCAGCCATAAAAAAGAGAATGAAATCTTGCCCTGGCTGGGGAGCTCAGTTGTTAGAACATCTTCCTGATACGCCAAGGTTGCAGGTTCAATCTCTGATCAGGGCCCATACAAGAAGTAAACAATGAATGCATAAAGAAGTGGAATAACAAACTGACGTTTCTCTCTCTCCCCTTTCCTCTCTCTCTAAAAAAAATCAATATTTTTTTTTTTTTAATGAAATCTTACCACTGTGAGAACAGCGATGGACCTAGGAGGTAGCATGCGAAGTGAAAAAGTCAGGCAGAGTAAGACAAATACCGTATGATTTCACGAATATGTGTAATCTAAAGAGCAAAATGAACAACACAGAAACAAACCTGCAGACACAGAGAACAAAGTGATGTTTGCCAGAGGGGAGGGCGTTGGGGGGACCAGGTGAAAAAGATGAAAGGGATTAAGAAGCCCAAATTGATAGTTATAAAATAGTCACAGGGATGTAAAGTACAGCACAGGGAATACAGTCAATAATATGTTAATAACAGCACAGTGCCAGATGGGTGCTACACTTATAGGAAAATCACTTCTTAAATGACATAAATATCTAACCACTAGGCTGTACACTGAAAAGTAATATAAAATAGTATTGAATGTCAACTGTAATTGAAAAATGAAAATAATGGTGGAGGTAGAAGAGGGTACGGGGGACAAATGGAGATGGAAGGAGACTTTACCTGGGGTGGTGAACACACAATATGCAGATGATTATAGAATTGTATTGTAGAACTGTACACCTGAAACATGTAATTTTCTTAACCAATGGCACCCCAGTGAAGTCAATTAAAGAAAAAAATAAAAACAAAATCTTAGGCCCTGGTTGGTGTGGCTCAGTGGATTGGATCGCTGGTTTGATTCCCAGTCAGGGCACATGTCTGTGTTGTGGGCCAAGTTCCCAGTAGGGGACGCTCGAGAGGCAGCCATAGACGTTTCCCTCTACGTCTCCCTCCCTTCCCCTCTTTCTAAAAATAAATAAAGAAAATCTTAAAAGGAAATCTTATCAAGGAAAAATAATTCAATCTGTAGAAAAAGTGTTTTATTTGACCTATTCACACATTGTAATATTTATATATTACACTTAATAACTGAGTTTATTATTTCAGAAATTTGGCGGGGTTTTACCTCATTGGCTAGTCTTTTGTAAACCAAGTAGGCACTTTATGTATGATCATTTAAGGATGAAATGCAAGATTACTTAATTTGAAAAGCTGTTTTGTATTCAAGAACATTTCTACTGAAACTAAACATGTAGAGTATTAACACCGGTTTTCTTTTAGTAGTAAAACTCCATTACGGGTCATGATCGTAACAGTACTAATTCACATCGTCCATAAATAAAAATAGGAGCTCCAACTTCACCTAAGTATCTAAACTACGTAAATCTCAGAATTGTACAAGAGGTTGTATTGGGGTGACTTAGTTACTACACGGCAGGAACTGTTCCTGATGCTCGGATGAGAAATGAACCAAACAGACCTCCATGGTGGGACTGACGTCCGGGCTGGAGTGCGGGCAGTGGGCGGCAGTCCGCGACAGGGAAGTTACCCACGTGTCCCGCTCAGCCCTCCCGGGAAAAAGGAGACCCGAGAGTGAGCGGTCCCGAGCGACCCGAGCCGGGCCAAGGCGCCCTGCGAACACCGTTTTAAACTGGGCGTGACCATTACTTTGCCCTAAACCTCACTGGCCCATCTGTTCAAAAGCGCGTGCTGCGTTGTGCACGGCGCTCAGTGCGGCGGGGTCGGCCACCGTGCAGCCTCAGGCTTGCACGACCCAGAGCCCGTCTCCGCAGGCGTGTACCACCGAGCACCAGGACACCGGGCGAGGCCGGGCCGACCCCGTCAGACACCTTCCTGGCCCCGCCCAGCGCCGCGCCCCACACCTGAAGTTGGACCAGATGAAGTTCAAGCAGAGCTGGAAGTTGGGGTCCGCCTCGTCCCGGAGGCCTGCCACATGGCGCACGAGCTCGCGCACATCGCGCTCCTGCTGTCGGTCCAGCCGGCTCCAGGACGGCCCCGGCCGCGCCATGTTTCTCCGCCTTCCGCGCGCCAAGTGTTCGCTGCTCCGCTCTCGCGAGAGTTCGCGCCTCCACCGCGTTGCGCGTGGGGGAAGGCGGAAGCAGCTTTCGCGAGAACTCGCGGTCCCGCCGCGCAGAGGCGCGGGGCTGGTGTACGTTCTCAGTCATCTCAGGGTGAGTTGAGGAACGTCCTCGGAGAGATAGACGGTTATCTTCACCGGATTAAAACCTTGGTTGATGATTTTTAACTTCTGATGTTTTGAGAGCAGCCGGTTAGTTGTCATTCAGTGTTCCTATTTGTACCTGCCTCTTCAGGTACCGGAACATGGCAGTTGTCTGTCCTTCTCGAAGCTTGTTTGTCCTTCTGGAGGTGACCTCTTATGATCTCTCAGTGCCCCTGTCTGTCTGCACAGGCCACGCTGCCTGGTCCGCACTGCAGCGGATGTCAGCATAGCGGCTCGTCGGCCCCGCGAGCTGGGCGGTGCGCCGGCTGCTCTCAGGGACTTGTGGCCGGAGGACTTGCTAAACCTCGGCGACCAAACGGCTCTCTTTGTTCATAATAAAACTGCGTCTAAGCTGTTTCTGTTAACTATTGCTCTTAACTACTCTGAAACCTATTACATAGACTTCTTTATTTATTTATTTTTCTTTTAGGGATCTTCTAGGTTTTTGTGGTTTATTACATCGCATTCCTGTAGTAACGTAACGTTCTAAGTTAAATTACAGCACCTGGATAGTGAGAGAAGAGACGGGAATTATTCACCAGGTAATAGTAGCTGTGAGCCAGCTGACAAAAGACTGCTCACGTTCCTGAACGTGGGCCAGAGCGCTGAATCAGCACCACCAGATGGGCCACCGCATCCCACATGTGCATGGACTTGCTGACTCTGTAACCAGTCAAAAGTAGTAAATCTTTCTTCTTTAAATTGTGCTATCATAGAAGAGCCCTGCTTCACCTCCCCCCGCGTTATTTGTAGCCAATGTAAATTCTTTCAAAACAACTCACAATTTTCCAGTACTTGTACTTGATGTATAGAAAGAGCCCACCAGGGGGCGACAGACACGAAACGATGCTCAACCTCACTAATCATCAGGGAAATGCAAATTAAAACCACAATGAGGTACGACTTCACATCTGTCAGAATGGCCATCATCAATATATCGGCAAACACCCAGTGCTGGCGAGGATGTGGAGAAAGGGGAACCCTTGTGCACTGTTGGCGGGAATGCAGACTGGTGCAGCCACTATGGAAAGGAGTATGAAATTTCCTCAAGCAATTAAAAATTGAACTGTCTTGTGACCCAGCCATTCCACTTTGGGAATTTATCCAAAGAAACCTGAAACACTACTTTGAAAGAATACTTGCACCCCTGTGTTCATTGCAGTGTTATTAACATTAGCTAAGATTTGGAAGCAGCCCAAGTGCCCATCAGTAGATGAGTGGATAGAAAAGCTGTGGAACATTTACACAGTAGAAGACTACTCAGCTGTTAAAAAGAAGGAAATATTACTTACCTATTGTGACAGCATGGATGGACCTGGAGAGTATTCAGCTAGGTGAAATAAGCCAGTCAGAGAAAGGCAAACACCATACGATTTCACTTATACGAGGAGGGAGCCCTCCAAAACAGGAACTTATTTATAAAAAATTGTGTATTCTTACATATTTACACTTCAGTCACCTTCAAGGCACTCTCCATTTGATGCAGTACACCTATCAAGATGTTTTCCACTGCTCAAAACAGTTTGAACTCATTGATTTTGATGCCTTTTAGTGCTTCTGATGGTTTTTTGTTTCACCTCTTTCACATCAAGAAAATGTTTTGGGGAAACAAAAGTTGCTACGGGTGTGATACGGTGAATAGAGAGGTGGGCCATGAGGGTCAACCTGCTTTTGGTCAGAAACTGCTGAACACAGCGAGGTGTAGGTCAGTGCACCTGTAAGTCACCCATCATGAAATAGGCATGACCCTGTGCCACACCCTCCAAAAAAATTCACTGAAGCCCAATACAGCCTCTCACAACAACGCCAGCTGGTGCACTGAAACAATTGGGTTCCTAGAACACTCACCTGGGAGGGGGGGGAATGCTGTACTGCAAGGGGCCCGCCCTCCAGAAGATTATTCTATTTCTTGGGGGGCCCCCGCTCGTATGTGGAATCTAATGATCAAAATAAACAAACCAAGAAAATAGAAACAGACTCATAGCTGTCACAGAGGCAGAGGTAGAGCAGCTGGGTGAAAAATGAGAAAAGATTAAGAAAAATTCATTGACAACAGTATGGTGATTACCAGAGGGAAATGGGGGGCAGGGAAGAGGCATGACTTGGGGTGGTGAACTCACAGTACAATATACAGATGAGGTGTTACAGAATTGGACGTCTGCAACCTATGTAATTGTTTTTGACCAATGTCACTCAAATAAATTCAATATAAAAAAAGAAAAAGAAAAAGCCCATCAACTCCAAGAAGGCTGACATGTTGCCTTTCTCCCTAGTTTTTCTTGTTATTTAGACTTCATGCCCCCAGCCCTAGTCTTTTTTTCTTGCTAGCACATGGCTCAATAAACTCTTAAAAGACGCTTTCAGCTGTGCAAGTTAAGATTTTTGTTTTACAAACAGATAGTCAATATACTAATGTCTTGGTCCATTCAGGCTGCTATAACAAAATATACAGACTGGGTGGCTTATAAGCCACAGAAATTTATTATCCATGGTTCTGGAGGCTGGGAATCAAGATCATGTTGCCAGTGTGGTTGGGAGAGGGTCCTCTTACTGGAAGCGGACTTGTATCCTCACATGAGCAAAGAGCTGAGGGAGCTCACTTGGGCCTCTTATTTATTTATTTATTTATTTATTTACCTTCATTTTAATTCTTTCCCCATGTCCCCACATTCACATTACAGACTGGACAAAGGGCGGGGCTGAGGTGCATATGGGGTGGGTTTACTCTGCCTGTTCTTTCTGTACAGCTGGTGTAAGAATACAACCTGTGGTGAGTACTGGGAGGCCTTGGGCCTCTATTAGAAGGGCACTAATCTCTTTCATGAGGGCTCCACCCTTTTGACCTAAGCACTGCCTAAGTGCCCCACCCCCTCAGAGCATCACATTGGACATTAGGATTTCAACATAAGAATTTTGGAGGAACACAGTCATTCAGACCATAGCAACTATGTAAAACAAACTGCACACGATTGCACAAATCCCATAAAAAGGAGAAAATTATAGCAGTAGGAATGATTCTATGGAAAGGAATTCATACTCTCCAGTTTCAACTATCATCTGCATGTTTATAACTCTCAAATTTGTGTATACAGCTCACATTTGTAGCACCCCACAGCTGTAGTCTAAATGCTTATTGTATATCTTCAAATATTAAAATATGGCCCTGGCCGGGTCCTCAGTTGGTTAGAGCATCATTCCACTACCTCTAGGTTCTGGGTTCGATCCCCAGTCAGGGCACAGACAAGAAGCAACCAATGAATGCATCAATAAGTGGAACAACAAATCAATGTGTCTATGATTCTCCCCCCTTCCTCTTTCTTAAATCAATAAATATTTTAAAAAATCAAAGCACGCATACATTCTTACACATATCTTCTCCACTTTCCCATCCAGTGGGTTGCTTTTGGCCTCTAGAGGGAGACTTAAGAAAACTTTCTGTAGGGTGCTGCCAATGACTCAGACCCACTAGGCACTAGGTTACTCTCCTGGGCCTCCCAGGTAGGCTTGGGCCGGTGTCCCCTTTTCTGGAAGGGGAGTTGAAAACATTTTTCAGAGATGCTTCTAATTAGTGAGCCCCATTCAAAACACCACTGGGCTCCAGATGCCCTCTGTAGGCCTCTGAGGCTGGCCCTGGCTAGCCAACCCCTCTGCAGGGGACGTTGAAACATTTTTTGTGAAGCAGATATGAAGACAGGGCAACAAACAGGCCGTGCACACTGCCATCTGTCCTTGGTGACCTGGCCCGGTGCAGCCCTTCAGAATGGCCCTTGGGCAAATTTTCTGGAAGCGTTTGCCAAGACTGGGCCCCACGCACGACTGCAGTCTAGCCAGAGGCTCCATCCCCACGGTGCTGGTCCAGCCCGTCCGATGTCCCCCTGCTAGGGACCTAGAAATATTTAAGTGGTGTCTCTATTAAATGTGCCACACGTGGGACAGTGCCTATCTCGGGATGCCTACCACAGAGCTACATGGCCAGCCAAGTCCATTCTGGCTTCTGGAGGGGACTTCCAAACTTAGGGGCAGGTGCAATGCCCTCCCTTCATCCATGGTCAGCCTGAGGGAATGCCTTCCTCTGGAGGGGAAATTGAAAATGTTTTTGGGAGGTACAGCCAATGACCAGGACTCGTGAGGGACTGTGGCCAGCCCAGCGTTCCCTTTCTAGGTCTTTCTGTGCTTCCTGGGCCAGTACTGCCCTTTGGAAGGGGATTTAAGAACTTTTTGGATAGAGCTCCCAATACCAGGACCTACGCAGGCTCCTCCAGGCCTCCCTGGCCTGTGCTGGCCTTTCCGTGCCACAGAGAGACTTCAAAATGTTTTGGAAATCCCTCTGCAGCCGTTGCAGCAAGCACGATGCACAAGTGAAAGAAGTAGAATCAGCAGCAGCCCCCACCTCTGGAGCCCCAAGTGCCAAAGCAGAAGGAGATGAGAGGAGAGAAAGACGATGGGAGACCCATGGGACCGCCCAGCCCTTCCGGGTCCTCCCCCAATGGCCAGGGACCCCAAGCCAGCCCCAAAGTGGAATCCGCGCTCATGTCTGCCCTCAGGAGAATGGATGAATAAGTTGTGTGTGCATGCTGTGGAATGGTACACTGCAATGAAAACAAATGAATGAACTGCTGCAGGCAACCTGTGTGAATCTCACAAATGTGATAATGAGCGAACGGAACCAGTCAAGAGAATGCAGACTCTCTTCACAGAGATTAGTCCTCCACGACCAGGGGACTGATGGTTCCATCACTGCTGGGTCTTCCACCTCCTCCCTGGGGCAGAGCCCAGTGTGGGGAGGCTTAGGCCCCAGGTCTGGCCCATGTGGTCATGGTTGGTGGGGGATCAGTGTTGAGTCTCCTTTTCCCGTTCAGGGCCGTGGTCTCTCCAGGATAGGCTTTTACAAAGAGCAGAGACATCCTCAAAGGCTGCAAGGCTGGTCCTTTGCGAACAATACCTGCCCCCTACCCTGGCTGGTGTGGCTCTGTGGATTGAGCATTGGCCTGCCGAACGAAAGGTTGCAGGTTCAATTCCCAATGAGGGTAAATGCCAGGGTTGTTGACCAGGTCCACAGTTGGGAGTGTGTAGGAGGCAACCAGTTAATGTTTCTCACACATGGGTTCTTTCTTTCTTTCTTTCTTTCTTTCTCTCTCTTTCTTTCTCTCTCTCTCTCTTTCTCTCTCTCTCTTTCTCTCTCTCTTTCTCTCTCTCCCTTCCTTCCTTTCTTTCTTTCTTTCTTCCTTTCTTCCTTCCTTTCTTTCTTTCTTCCTTTCTGTCTTTCTTTCTCTCTTTCTCTTTCTTTCTCTCTCTCTCTCTTTCTCTCTCTCTCTTTCTCTCTCTCTTTCTCTCTCTCTCTTCCTTTCTCTCTTTCTTTCTCTCTTTCTCTTTCTTTCTCTCTCTCTCTCTTTCTCTCTCTCTCTTTCTCTCTCTCTTTCTCTCTCTCTTTCTTTCTTTCTTTCTTTCTTTCTTTCTTTCTTTCTTTCTTCCTTCCTTCCTTCCTTCCTTCCTTCCTTCCTTCCTTTCTTTCTTTCTTTCTTTCTTTCTTTCTTCCTTTCTTCCTTTCTTTCTTTCTTCCTTTCTTTCTTTCAAGATTTTACTTATTTCTTTTTAGACAGAGGGGGAGGGAAGGAGAAAGAGAGGGAGAGAAACCTCAACGTGTAGTTGCCTCTCGCACGCCCCCTTCTGGAGACCTGTCCCGCAACCCAGGCAGCGACCCCCTAGCTCTCAGGCCGGCACTCAATCCACCGAGCCACACCAGCCAGGGCACACATGGATGTTTCTCACCGTCTTTCTCCCTCTCTCCCCTCTCTCTGAAAATAAATAAACAAATAATTTGAAACAATGAATACCTGCTCCTCCCCCAAGGATGAACTCCAGGTTATAGAAGACAACACCGTGGTTGCCAACACTTTGCCAACTGTCGATATGAGGAAATCTGTACATTCCACTGGCCCCTTCTGGGAGCCTGCCTTCCCATCCAAGCCGGAAGGAGCCCTCTAGCGGCCTATTTCCTTGTGGTGCAGAGACGGCTGCCTTCATGCTGTTCCACCCCGCAAGCTCCCGTGAGAAACATCCACCGCTGTCCACCCCCTCTTCCATTTGGGGTCCAGAGCTGTGTTCCATCACTGTGTGCGGTGCGCGCGCACGTTTTCCGCCTATGAGCCTCCAGCGACTCGCCTTTGAACTCCCGTCCGTGCTCCCTCCGGTGCCTCCTTGACCCTCCTTTCCCTCACCAACTGCTGAGCAGGGACTTTATTTGGTGCTGCTTCTCGTGCACCTGTCCACCCAGCCCCCAGTATTGCCCTTGGTTCCTGAGCCCTGGAGCAGTTTCCCGCCATTCCCTTCTAGCTGCTCGTTTTAAGTGCTTTTTTACGTGACGCCCCCTGCCCCGATGTTGGCCGCTGCTCTGTGAAACGCCCCATTTTGTCGCAGCTGGGATCAAGTTGGGATGGGACAGAGTCACTCCCTGAAAGATCACTCTCTCTCCCTGCTGTGGGATTTTGCCGTTTCGTCATCAGGACGTGTGGTCCCCACTGCCGTGGTCTGTGATCACCGTGCTTTGTGAAATTGTATCCCTTTGTAGCCTTTCTCAGGGTCCGGGGCATTTCCGTGGCTTTCCCAAACTAGAGTATTTCTGCCCAAAGGCCTGAGGTTCGTGGACCCCTGCAGGCTTGCCCCGCCCCCAACACGGGAGAACGGGGAAACTTCCCACCAGGCGGCCTCCCTGGCCTCCCCGTCCTGGGGTCAGCTTGACACAGATCCATGAGATGTCCCCTCTCTCCTCTACGGGCCACGTTAGTTAGAGTGTGTCATTGTGAGGCCACGTTAGTTAGAGTGTGTCATTGTGAGGCCGCCAGGCCTTTCCTTGGAACCCTGTGAATCTCCACCTGGCTTGTCTTTGGGTGGGACCTGGACTGTACTGTCGCCATCGCCCAACCTCCATCCCTTATATCCCTGGCACCAGTTTTCTGCCAAAATGACTGAACAGGCTCAGTTTTGAACTGGCCCTGAGGAAATGGGTCAGGAGTTATGTGGGCAAGAGGGAGTGATGTGAGCTGTTGAAGAATGGAAAATATTTTTTTTCTTTTAAACATATATTGGTAATAGGTGCAGTGGGAATGGAAAAAAAAAAAAAAGAAATGTGGTGGCATGCCTCAAAAACCAGTTCTTGCTGTAGCTGGTGTAGCTCAGTGGATCAAGCACTGTCCTGTGAACTAAAGGGCCGCCAGTTCGATCCCCAGTCAGGGCACATGTCTGGGTTGTTGGCCAGGCCCCCAGCAGGGGGCGTGTGAAATGCAACCACACATTGATGTTTCTCTCCCTCTCTTCCCCTCTCTAAAAATAAATAAATAAAATCGTTAAAAAAAGTAAAGACCGGTTCCCAGGCAACACCATGGTGACCACCCTAGACTCCCAGGTCTGTCCTGGGGACAGACATTTTTGGGATGTACATCCAATGTCTAGCGTCTAGGTGGAATTGGGTGCCCCTGTGGGCCTCCCTGTTGACTTGGGCTACTATCTTACTCCATAGTATAAAAGTTACCCTCCACACCCTTTTCCATCCCCCTCCAGTGGCTGAGATAGAAAGAGCCTGCTTGGGAGGGGCCCAGGGCCCTGCCACAGTCCCCCGAAGGCCCCGGCCATCAGAAGCATCCACCCAAGTGTTCCTAAGTCCCACTCTGTTTTGGTAAGGGCTGGCCCAGGCCACACAGGAAAGCAGCAGAGAGTGAAGTGGATACAGCTATGGTGCTTCATGGGCCCAAGTCATTAGTGCACCTCCAAAAATGTTTCCAAGTTCTCAA